AGTGCAAAAACCACTGTCATAAATAAGTTTCCCTGGTGCTTTATTTTAGTCTCCCTTTTCTGAACTACTTGATGCATAGGGTTCTACTCCTTGATTCTTATCACCTTGTTCTACTTTTCTTTAAATGGCTTATGTCAGGCCCAGCGCTGAAGCCTAACAGCTAAAGTCATCACCTTGTACATGCAGGGATCCCATATGGGCACCAGTTCTAATCCCGGCAGCTCTGATTCCCATCCAGCTCCCTGCTTGTGGCCTGGAAAAGCAGTCGAGGATGCCTGAAAGCCTTGGGACCCTGCGCCCGCTTGGGAGACCTGGAGGAAGAGGCTCCTGGCTCCTGGCTTCAGATCAGCTCAACTCTGGCCATTGCAGCCACTTTGGCGATTGATTCATTGGACAGAAGATTTTCCTGTCTGTCTCTCCTCTCTATATATCTGACTTTCCAATAAAAATAAAATCTTTTTAAAAAATGGCTCATGTCAACCTTCTCTTTACAGAAAGCAGATTTCCCACTTGCTCAAAAGTTGAGTGAGTGCTTGTTTAATAACTGGCATGGTACCTTGTACATCATAATAGGTCCTCTGAAAAGTTTTATTTTAAAAAACAAAACTTGAGTAAGTTGGCTCTGTATGGTTAGTCTAATGCAGAGCCTTTTTTGTTTCTTTAACCTCACATAAGGGGAGGGATGCGTCTCGGGAGATGGAGCATGGTTTGGTGTGTGGTTTAGATGCCAGAGGCAGTTCAGGTGGTGGAGTAGTGCACAGTCACAGCAACTCTTGAAAATCTGAGAGGTGTCATGTTGGATGTAGTAATATCAGTGCTGGGAAAAACGTAACATGGCAAGGTTTTTCCCTAGCTTTGGAGAAGACTGCCGTTTTCCTTCCTGTGAGCCCCAGTTGCTTTTAGATGTTACAGTGTGTAGAAAACATGACGGTATTAGAATGATACATAGTGAGAGAAATGTGTATGTAGACTGGGGGACTGAAGATAAGCTAAAGGAACCAGTATTTAAGTTAGTTCTCTCAGTTTTTCAGCATGAATAGGTTAATTCAAAGTTAATTAATTTCCTGATGTGTATGTTTCTTAGATGCTACAGGTACTACAAGCTGCTCATCGTAATAGACATGAGATATGGATTAAATTGCTTATGTTTTTTATATTTTTAGTCTTCTTTGCCTTTGGAGTTTTTACATAGGTTTAGTGTTAGAAGATTACTGTGTCAAATCAGAGAACACTGTATAAGTAATTCTTCTCTGAACATGTTTTATAATACAGGGGAAGCTGGCTTCATCTAAATTGCTCTGTCTTGGGGGACGTGCCTTGTGGCTAGAAGAAAGTCTTTAGTTGGAATATAGTTGAATTAGCGAGATTCCTCTTAGCTGCTGCCCTGCATTTTGAAGTTCAGTGCGACTTAACACCAGGGAGGAAACACTGAAAAGCTAGGAAGCCATATTGATTGACAGACAAAAGGATTGTCCAGTTGTTTTTGCTACCCTGACTAAAGCCTTAGGACATAGCAGAAATTGATTCTCTGTGGTGTAATTTTACATGGATAATCTGCCTAATTTTAGAATTAGTATGGTATGATGACTAGTGATGTAAATATTTAAGTAGTCTGCTAACACAAAATTCATTTTTTTAAGAGTTATTTATTTATTTTTATTGGAAAGTCAGATATACAGAGAAAAGGAGAAGAGACAGAGAAGAAGATCTTCCGTCCAATGGTTCACTCCCCAAGTGACCACAACAGCCAGTGCTGCACCGATCCGAAGCCAGAGCCTAGAACCTCTTCCAGGTCTCCCACGCGGGTGCATGATCCTAAGGGTTTGGACCATCCTCAGCTGCTTTCCCAGGCCACAAGCAGGGAGCTGGATGAGAAGCAGGGCTGCTGGGATTAGAATTGGTGCGCATATGGAATCCCAGTGCATTTGGGGCAAGGACTTTAGCTGCTAGGCCAAGCCGCTAGGCCCACAAAATTCAGTTCTTTAGGAAACCAGATTCCATTAACTTAACATCATGGCATGAACGAAATGAAGTAATTTTTCAAGTCAAGCATAACAGTTATTGGAAGGGAGAGGTGCTCGATGTATATATTTTATACTTATATAAAATATAAGACACTGAAGCCATTCATTCATCCAGCCAACCTGAATGAAACTAAATATCCAAATCTCCAGTATAAATAAAGCAGTGCAGTGTTAGCAGTTACTTTGACTTGAAATATATGAACTTTGTTTTCTAGACTGTCAAATAATTGGAAACCCAGGTTGGTTTTTTGTTTTTGTGCCAGTTTGAAGCTTTTAGTTTTGGATGAAGAGATTTTGATTTTTTTTCATGCATCTCCTATTTAAAAGATTTAATCCTTTAAAAGATAACGGTTGATAGTTTGAGTCACTTTGAGAAAAAGTAATGCGAATAAAGTTGACAGCACTTAGTATTTTTAAATGTAATAGAGTGAGGACCACCTAAGCATTCCTGATGTAAATCCTTTGTGTCCCTACATAACTATCAATAGTTAGATCCCTATAGTCCAGGCCTGTTTATTTGCCTTTTAGTTTTAATGATTTTAGCAAACAAGGGAAGAGGAAGAGATGTGAAAATTTAGCTTGGCAGCAGCCAAGTAAATAAAAGTCAACATAATCTGATTTCCTAACCTGCTCCCCTGCCTCCTTCCAGATGAAAGTTACTGCCTTTCAGGTGCTTATCACCTTTCTCAGGCAGAAGCAACAGCCGCTTGGCATTCAGCTTTTTAAAGAATAATACAGTGGGGCCCAGTGGCATGGCCTAGCAGCTAAAGTCCTCGCCTTGACCATACCAGGATCCCATATGGGCGCTGGTTCTAATCCTGGCAGCTCCACTTCCCATCCAGCTCCCTGCTTGTGGTCTGGGAAAGCAGTCGAGGACGGCCCAAAGCTTTGGGATCCTGCACCTGTGTGGGAGACTTGGAGGAGTTTCCTGGCTCCTGGCTTCTGGCTTCTGGCTCTGGATTGGCTCAGCACCAGCTGTTGCGCTCATTTGGGGAGTAAATCATCGGACAGAAGATCTTCCTCTCTATCTCTCCTCCTCTTTGTATATCTGACTTTGTAATAAAAATAAATAAATCTTAAAAAAAAAGTGTACATCAAAATCTTATTTCTCAGTAAGAGTAAGCATTTTTAATCAGTTAAAGTTAAATGGAGATGTCAAGAGTTAGTTTGGAAAGATGTTATTGATTATATAGCATAATATGAACATTTCATGTTTGTCCGTTTGATTTGAACTGCAGAAATTGTGTGGTGTTTGACTAGAACTACCTAGGGGACAGTAGAGCTTCAATATATACTTGTTTAATGGCACCAATGTCTGTTAACTTAGAGCAGCAGGCACCTAGATTTATACATATTGGAGCATTCGTTCCAGCCTGGTCTTCCAACTTGTCATTGTTAATCTGTATAGTAAGCAATCATATACTTCATGTATGCTTGATATTATGCTAATAATATCTGTAGCTATAAAGTGTTGTTGGAATAGTTATACGTGGTAAGATACAATGAAACTTCTGGAAGGACTTAGAAATCTTTTTTTTTTTAAATGATTTATTTATTTTTATTGGAAAGGCAGATATACAGAGAGGAGGAGATACAGAGAGGAAGATCTTCCATCCACTGATTGACTCCCCAAGCGGCTGCAAGTGCCAGAGCTGAGCTGATCCAAAGCCAGGAGCCTGGAGACTCTTCCAGGCCTCCCATGATGGTGCAGGATCCTAAGGCTTTAGCTGTCCTTGACTGCTTTCCCAGGCCACAAGCAGGGAGCTGGATGGGAAGCAGGGTCACCAGGATTAGAACTAGTGCCCATATGGAATCCCGGTGTGTGCAAGGCAAGGACTTTAGCTGCTAGGACCCTTGGGACCCTGCACCTGTGTGGGAGACCCGGAAAAGAAGTTCCTGGCTCCTGGCTTCGGATCGATGCAGCACCGGCCATTGTGCTCACTTGGGCAGTGAATCATTGGATGGAAGATCTTCCTCTCTGTACATCTGCCTTTCCAATAAGATAAAATCATAAAAAAAAAAAGTGGGAAAGATTAAAAAAACTATACAGGATCATGCTGTTGAAAATTAACTTTACCCTAGAGTAAATGATTCTCAACCTAGAGGTGATTTTACCCCGTAGGGAATTTATGGCAATACTGGGAGACATTTTTGATTTTCAGCTGGTGTGGGAAGTTGGTTGTTACTGGCATCTGGTAAGCCAGAGACCAGGAATGCTGCCAAACATGCTGCAATGCACAGGACAGCCTTATTGTAGAACGACCAGACTCCTGGTGTCAGCATTAATGAGGTTGAGAAAGTTACCACGAAACATTTTAAGCTTGTTCAATAATGGTGTGGATTGAAAGGGGGAATGAAGTAGAAACAGAGAAGTAGGCTGAGACCCTTAAAAGAAGAAATGAAACAGTATGGGACCTTTCCCTAGAACTAAAGTTTGAAAAAGACAGATTAGAAAGGTCACTACAGGTAGGAACAGCAGAATTTGGCTGGTGGTGTGTTGAGGTGCTTGTCAAGGTTTCCAGTCTGGGAAACTGGATTGAGACATAGTTCAGGATGCCTCTTCTCATTATGATTCACTTTGCTAATGTGTTACCCCACTGTTTTCTGGTATTACGTATGGTGTAACAGTGCTAAGTATTATTGTTTATTATTTTTTAAAAAAATATAACTCATGGAGTCTAGCACAGTACTGAATTTTCTTGAACTATAGATAAAATAAAATTATAAAGTAGAAAATACACTACTAGGAAAATGTAGGATTGCCAAATTATGTACTGTATCATGATTATCTTTTTTTAAAAAATCTTGAGTTTTTTTATAATTTTAAAAATTATTTCTTCAAGAGGCAGAGACAGACAGGACAGAGGAAGCAAGCTCCCAGCCATTCGTTTGCTCCCCAGATGCTCACAACAGCTGGGGTGAGGCCATGCCAAAGCCAGGAACAACATCTCAGTTACCCCCATGGCTGGCAGTGACCCAGCTGCTTGAACATCGCTTCTGCCTCCCAGTGTCTGCTTTAGTGGGGGGCTGGAGTTGAAGCTGGAGCCCAGTGTCACAGCCAGGCACTCTGAGACAAGATGTGAATGCTTTAAGCTAAATGCCTGCCTGGTTAATTATCTTTGTGAAAGTTAAAAGTGTGTCTGTCTGTGTGTTTCCTAATTTCTCACAGTTTGATTTGATCTCTTTCCCTTTTAAAATGTCATAGTTATTTATGTCGCCGATTTATTCCTCCTCCATGCCTTGAGTGCAAACAATCTTTTTCTCACTCCTGAAGCTTGTCCAGAGCTTAGCATGGTTCTTCGTAGTAATGACAAACCTTTCAAAGCATGTGCCAAACACTGTGCTGAGTGCTTTACATGAATTATATTGTTGGCCTTCGCAGAAGCTCTGTGTTGTGCAGAACTGCTTTGATCCTCATTGGTAAGTGTAATCCTGTGAACCAGGAGACCAGGGCCGGAGGAGTTAGATGACTTGTGCAGTGTCATAAAACTGAGAAGTGGCTGAACTAGGGTTTGAAATAGGGACTCTTGATTTCAGGCTTTCTGATTCCCTGCACTCTTAAGGAAACTCAACAGAAGGCACTTGTGTTTTACTGGCTCAGTTAGATTAGAGGGGTACTGAGAAATATCTAATGTTAAGGTTTCTTACTGACAGTGAAATTTTAAATCCTGCAAAGGCCTGAATATTTCTGAGGAAGGAATATTTGAATATTATCCAGGATACCCAGAAATGTGACCGCTTATTTATCAGTCGTTTCTGTTCTTTAACCTTCCCCAGCACTGTTGACATTGGAAGCAAAGAGCAAAAGCAACTGAAATGCTGTGGAGCGAGGACCTAGAGGAGAAAATAGGAGCTTAGGGAAGAGGTGGCTAAGGCAGTCTGTTCTAGCCTAGTCTCCTTTAAATGCATGGTTGCTCACTATTATGTGTAGCTATCTAGCCTGGCTTATTTATTTTGGGATCAAAGGAATGGCAGGGATGTGACATTTGCTGTAAAGAGCAGACTTTTAAATGTTTTGACCTTGTGACTCTTCAAGAAAGCAACCTGTTGACACCTAATGAGGAAGAGTTTCTTTGTCAAATTCTAAAGCCCTTTTAATTTCTTTTTAAATGTGTTTCTGCTGTATTTGTTTTTACTACATAACTATAATTCTTGGTTTTGTCCCTGTGTGTGAAAGATGCTAATAGCACAGAGAAACATAAATGTTTAAACCTAACACTTAGTAGAGAAGATTGATGAGAAAGAGAGCAGTAAGACTGCTTATATTTGTGTTTTCCAAAACTTGATTTATAAATGGTAGAAAAATTTTTATTAGAGTTTCCGATTAAAATTTGAGCTCTTAGGCTGGTGTGACATAGCAGGTAAAGCATATAATGGTGGTATCCTAAGTGAGTACTGCGTCCCTGCTGTTCTGCTTCTGTCGAATTCCCTGCTAATGGCCTGGGAAAAGTGATTGGGCCTCTTGCCATCTACGTGGGAGACTTGGGTGGGGGGCCTGGCCCAACCTTGGCTGTTATAACTGTGGGAGTGAACCAACAGGTAGAAGATCTCTCCCTTTATAACTCCTTCAAATCAATCATTTTTTAAAAAATAAGCTCGCTCTTATATGTATCCCAGTTTTATTTCAGCCTATTGGAAGTTTTTGTCATTATTAATACATATGTGTATTAGTTTCATTTTGAAAAAAATGTATAATGAGCATACAGAAAGGTATTTGATGCAATGCCAGTGGCATTGTTCTAGATATTTATTGTCCATGTCTTAGTCATTTATACTTTGATAAATTCACTGTTTTTAGGCGTGGTTGCTGAAGTCTCCATCTTCTAACATTAAAATAACCAAGAGATGTTTGACTCAGAACAAGAGGAACTTAGAGGGTGTCTTCAAACAACTAAAGCATTGACATGTTGGGAAAGATTTGGCTCCTTTTGTGTAGTCCCAGTAGTTTGAACCTGTGGAATTCATAGGGAGACACTTCAGTTTAGTTTAAACAACCATCCTGGCAGCTCTGCTCAGTAAGGGAGATGACTGCAGGGGGAGGAGTAATATGGTCTTGCTGGAAGTTTAAAATGTAAGTTAAGTGATCTGATGTGGATGATGGATTCAGATGCCAGGTGGAGGTTACACAAGATGGGTGATACAGACCCATACCATTCTGAATCTTTTACCAGGAACCTGAGGTGTAGGAGAAGCTATCCAGGTGAGAAAACAGAGCTATGCCTCAGGTTAAAAGGGGAAGCTCAAAATCTAGTATGCCTCTCTGATAGGCCTTTACATAGTTCACATTTTCTCTTCCAGGAATATGTAAGAAATCATTGGCCTTTGTTTCTTAAGAGGTTTTTATGTATAACTTGAGGAATTTTTGGCATGCGCACAGAAACAGAACAGTTTTTGTAATAACCCTCTGGCTGGAGACATCGAGTGATGCTAAATCAGAAGTATTCAAAATTCTGTCATTGTTGCTACATTAAATTAAACCTCAGAGACAATACGTAGGATCCAGGCTGCAACAATTTTCTGTTATTTTGGATTTGCCTGTTTTTCTAGTTTCACTCTCTTTGCTGAATAAAAATGGTGCATGAAAATTGGTGCATGAACATTCTTAGCTTCAGAATTAGGTGTAGGTAAAAAAGTTAAAACTGATATGCATTTATTTTCAACCAAGATTTAGTGGCTTATGAGTGTGGTGAAGTGGGTAAGAGTATACTTTTAAAAAAAGGTTATTAATTTTAATGCAAAGTCAGATTTATAGAAAGATCTTCCATCCACTGATTCACTCCCCAAGTGGCCACAATGGTCAGAGCTGGGCTAATCTGAAGCCAGGAGACCAGAGCTGCTGCTGGGTCTCCCATGAGGGTGCAGGATCCCAAGGCTTTGGGCTGGCCTTGACTGCTTTCCCAGACCACAAGCAGGGAGCAAGATGGGAAATGGAATATCTGGGACTTGAACCGTCACCCATATGGGATTGTAGCACATACAAGATGAGGTTTGCCACTAGGTTATCATGCCAGGCCCATTTACAATTTTTTTTTTAAAATTTTTGTTTTATTTGAAAGGTAGAGAGAAAGACCCACAAAAGCCAGACTGGGACGAGCTGGAGCTGAGAACCTAGAATTCAGAACCTGGGTCTCCAATGTGGGTGAGGGGGACCCAAGTGTTTGAACTGTTGTCTGCTACCTTTCAGGTGTGTATTAGAAGCAGAAAGCTAGATTGGAAGTAGGATATCTGGGATTCAAACCAGGCACTCTGATGGGATAAGGGTATCCGAAGCAGCAGTTTAACCACTGTGCTATATGCCTGCCCCAAAGTATGAGATTTTGATATTAGGCTTGTTTGGCTTTACTATTCACCACTTGTGTCACCCTAGACAAGTGACCTAACTTCTTTGAATGTCAGCTTCATCATTGATAGCATGCAATGAATGAGGTAATATATGTCAAAGGTATTTAGTGTAAGAGCTCAGCAGATGTTTGTTATTTTTGTAATGGCAGACTTATCCTATGATTTTAAATAAAATATGATTTTTACTATTAGGTCATCTTGGAGCGGACCTTGGAATGAATATGTGCCTTGTTAGGGAGTAGTACCGTGAATAACATATATTCTGTTTCTGTAGATACAGAGGGTATAAGAATTAAAAAAGCAGAACTTTAAAAAGGAGTGGTGTGGAGTGTGTGTTTGGGGTGGCCACCTGGGACATCTGCTCCTATATCTGAGTGCCTGGAATCCAGTCCCAGTCCTATTACGAATTCCATCTTGCTTCTAATGTGTACTCTGGGAGGCACTGATGGTGGCTCCAGCACTTGGGTCCCTATGATGTATGTGGGAGCTCTGTATCGACATGCTGGCTTCTGGCTTCTATCTGGCCCACTCCAAGCCAGAAGCCAGCAACTGGGGAGTAAAACAGAGGATGAAATCTCTCTGGCCTCAATCTTTCTTACTCTTTGCCTTTCAACTAAAAGTAAGGGAGTAGTACAAACTGTTCTTTACTTCCTTTCCCTCTTTTCTCCAAAGAAAGATTGCGGTAGAAGTAGATAGGAGATTTGAGACCTTTTATGTAAAGATAGGCATGTAGTGGTTGAGGCTATTGTCAGTGTGAATAAGGGGTTGGAGTTAGAATTTGAAGTAACAACCTGGAATTTATGGAAAGGAGGTCAGGAACAATATGAGAAGCAATCAGCTTCATTAAACTTGTTAAAATGGAGGCTGGGAGGATTGGGTTCTTTTAGGCTTACTTTCTGCCTGCATGGTTTGTGCACCTCTAGGCATATCATTACCAGTGATACAGACTGCATGCCATCCCTGAGGCTCCTTGTGCACCTACCATTCTCCAGCTGAATCTGCCTAGAAGCAAGAGCAGGTGAGTCAAAATCATGTCAAGTCCCTGAAAGAGAAATTTCAAGAAGGAACAGTGTCACATGCAACAATAGAGGGTGGGCGCTGGGAAGTGTGAGTGCCCAAGAGGAGAAATTTCTGCAGTGTTAGAGTTACTGTGAACTGTGAAGTACTGGGAAATGAGGGTTATTCCAGAGCCTCTTGCTATCTTTTCAGGCAGTAAATAAAACTACCTGGTATGTTAGGGGAAAATGTAATTATGTGCTCTCATTAATGACTTGTAAATTAAACTGAGTGCTTTTGTGTTTTTTGTTTGTTTATTCAAGATTGGAAGAGAAGTCTAGTCTGTTGCTAGGTGTGGCATTCCTAAATCTTGTTTCTCTTTAGAATTTTAGTTGCAGTTCTCACTTGAGATGTTTTTCTTCATCTTGTTTTTTAGTAGACTCATTATTCCATTATGGATGGAGGAGATGATGGTAACCTTGTTATCAAAAAGAGGTTTGTGTCAGAGGCAGAACTAGATGAACGGCGCAAAAGGAGGCAAGAAGAATGGGAGAAAGTTCGAAAACCTGAAGATCCAGAAGGTCCGTAGGTTATGGCTTGACTGACATCCAGCTGAGTGACAGCCCTGCCGAATGTGTGTTCATTGTTCGCACTTTAGAATTGAGCAGCAGAGGCTCAGAGAGGTGAAGTCACCTGTGTAAGACCTCCCAAGCTGGGAGCAGTTCAGGATGCTTAGGTCCTTGCCCTTTCCCCTCTACAACACAGCCAGGAGGTATGGCTAGTCTGTTCCATCTGTGTGTCCGTGGTGTGAATGGTTGCTGCTGTGGAAGGCTTGGGTTGATGATGGTTGGCTCTGAAATCAGCTGGCGCCTCTCTGAGTCCAAATGGAAGCTGTGGACTTTGTACTATTTTGGTGTTAGGCTTGCTCTCAGATCATGCAGATACTTGACCATCTTTTAAATTCTTTGTGGTTCTAAAATAATATGACAAATTTTAAAGTGTATCTCTTTCCCTCCCTGCCTGCCTTTCAGAATGTCCAGAGGAAGCTTATGACCCCCGGTCTCTCTATGAAAGACTACAGGAGCAGAAAGACAGGAAGCAGCAGGAATATGAGGAGCAGTTCAAATTCAGTAAGCTTCAGAAAATATGAGTCTATGGGACTATAAGGGGCCTTTTTGCTGCACTTTGTCTCATGCAGCACTCTGTCTAACTAGTAATGGAATTGTCTTGATAATCTAGTCTCCAGATGCTCATTTGATGGGAAAGAGACAGTTTTCTTCCTCTAGATCACAGCAAGCAATTTCAAAACTCAAGATACCCATTTTAATTCCATGCTAATATCTAGTAATGGGAGAAATGCTTTGATTTTATGCCATGTTATTTATCCAAAAGTCATGGTGTTTAGTAGTTCTTTATTCTAATCCCCTGAAGAATCTGCTGTTTATTAAAAAAAATCTTATTTGACTGCATTTTTCTTTTAGCCTGTTAAATGTTTCTTGTTTAATTATTTCCTCAGAAAACATGGTAAGAGGCTTAGATGAAGATGAGACCAACTTCCTTGATGAGGTTTCTCGGCAGCAAGAACTATTAGAAAAGCAGCGAAGAGAGGAAGAGCTGAAAGAACTGAAAGAATACAGAATATCCTTTGTCCTTTGAGAGAAATCTGTAGGATGTCTGTTTTTCTCAGCAACATTTATGGATTTCAATTTCGTGTTACATAGAAAGTGGGTCTTCTGCCTGGCCATTTCTAGAGTCTCTTGTGGCTCTGAATAACTGACAGTCATTTGTAGAGTTTTTGTTGTACACCAGAGCCTGTTGTAATCACAAGTTCATGTCCTTTAGGATTAACTCAAGGCATCAGTCCTAAGAGTCAGTAGCAGGACATTCGTGCTTTGTGGGATAAGAATCTGAGACAGATGGGCAATGCAATCAACCTCATCCAGGAAAAAAATTGGCTTCTGAGATTTAAAAGGACATGTTGAGCAACTCTGCTGGTACAGCTTGGTCAGTCCCCATAGAGGGGTTGAGAAAGTGGCAAAGATGACATCACTTTGGCTTCTTACTGCCCTTGAATATCTTAATACACATTGCACATGGAACTGGACTAAATGAGAATTCTCAGTTCTGTGCCACATCATGCTCACACTAATTACACAGCCCTCTGCTGAATTTTTGTTTTGTTTTGTTTTTTTCCCGGCTTACTCCATTTTAATAACTAGTAGTTGTCTACTCCCAGATGCCTGTGCTCCAGGGTTGTCTGATTCTTGCCATATCTTTAGCCACATTAGTAGCAGTAGACTTCCTCTGGGCTACTATGACCATCTAATTGCTTCCTGTTTCTACTTGTGTCCCCAGCAGTCCTTTCTTCAGACAACAAAGGAAATTTTAAAAACATGTGTGACGTCAGGTCACCTTCCTGTTGGAAACACTCTCATGGCTTCCTGTTGTATTTAGGCTGAGGTCTACTTAATCAGACACTCCAAGCCTGTTAAGATTTAGGCCAACCTTTTACCTTCCTCCCCTGGTCTCAACCCTACTTCTGATAGTGGATAGGAGTTGATGGGAAGTTATACTTCAGTTCCAGCTGAAGGATGGAGATCGAGCCTTCTGATCTCCTCTCCTCAGCCCTTATGACTACAACTTACATATATGCTTGTAGAGATAGACAGATAAAGGAACTACATTATTTGTTTTTGCAAGATTTATTTGTTTTTACTACAAAGTCAGATATACAGAGAGGAGGAGAGACAGAGAGGAAGCTCTTCCATTCCAATGATTCACTCAAGTGAGCACAACGGACTGTGCTGTGCAAATCCAGAGTTAGGAGCCAGGAACCTCCTCCAGGTCTCCCACGCAGGTGTAGGATCCCAAAGCATTGGGCCATCCTTGACTGCTTTTCCAGGCCACAAGCAGGGAGCTAGAAAGGAAGTGGAGCTGCCGGGATTAGAACCGGCGCCCATATGGGATCCTGGTGTGTTCAAGGCGAGGACTTTAGCCACTAGACCATGCTGCCGGGCCCGAATTACATTATTTCTAACATGAAAATTTACCTGTAAGGAAATAGAATAAGGTTGTGTCTCAATTGAATAGTGTCTTGTTTTATGTTGGCAGTCTAGCAGATAAGGCAGCATCTCCCAAACGGCATTCTGGAGAGTTATGCTGGGAGTGAGAGATGCCCTTCAGTTCAGTTAGGAGAGAATGAACAGGACAGTAGTGAAGCAAAAGAAATGTTTCTGTGTCGGTAACCCTGCAGTACAGCGTTGGAGGGACTCCAAGGGAATTGGTTTTAATTGGGTGCTTAGAAAGTTCTGACAGGAAAAATTGCAGAAAAGAAAGGCCTTCCAGCCTGCTGACATAATGTATTCATTTTAAGCACACACGTAAGACAGGAATGTTAAGACAGGAGTTGCGGGATTATACATTTGTTTATTGAAACTTTAAATTAGGAGCTAGTTCGTGGTGTTGCTTGGTTATTGTGGATGATGCCTTTTATGATACAGATGATACAGTCTTCTGAATTCATGCATGTTGTGGTTTGTGCGATGTAAGCAGTAGGACTTTGTTTTCTCTGGGCTTGGACCAGTATTTAATAATGTGTATGTTTATAAGGTGTGATTTTTTTTTAAAGCCTCATCTATTTGAAATTTTTGAGATGTGCCTATGTGTTGGCAGCATTTTTCAGGGGAGGGAGCTTTGAAGTGGATCAAATATAAGATTAGTACTTCCTGCTCCTCACCTAAAGAAATTTGGGGCTTTTTTTCACTTTGTTCTTTTTTTTTTTTTCAGTTTAAAACAATAAAAGTTGAATGTGGGATTTTGTCTGTGTCCTGGTATAATGTATGTGTGCTTTTATTTTGTTAATTTTCCTGTTATTTTTCATTAATATTCCTGAAGTTGAAGATATACAAAGATTTTGGCATTCTCTAGTAGCAAGATGAAGTCTTTGGTTTTTTTCTTTTTTTCCTATAAAAATGGACAGTATTAACACGATATCCATTTCTGTGTTGACTTTAGAAATGGTAAATGGATGAAACTCAAAATTGTGCTGAGCATTGTGTGTAATCACCATTGAAAACTGCAGATATGGAAAACGGAGTCAGGTCCTGAAGAGCAGTCAGAATTTCCTTACGTCTAATAGTCGGTTTTCTCCTTGGTTCAAAGCCAGTTAGACAGCTGGCCTGTTCTGTGTACCTCCTACCTCACCTGCCCCTTTGAGCTGGTAGCATGTGCTACTTAGATTCCTTGGTCACTAGATGTCAGTGTTGTTTCAGAGAGGCGCCACCACAGCTCAGTAAGGGCTTGCATGTCAGAATGTTTGTCTGTGGTCAGGTATGAAATGTGGAAGCATCCCATAAAAAGGAGGGAGCAGAGGGGGCTGCTAGAGAGAACAAGTCAAAGTGACAGACCATAAGAGCCAAAAAGTGACATCACGCATGAAGCGGTGTTGTTAAAAATGCTGTGGCTGTGGTTCTTGTGTTGTGTATGCACATTAAAGTCACCTGCAGAGCGTGTTTCACACAGGCTCCTGGGCCTCTAGAGATCCTGGCTCAGCAGCCTTCAGGAAGGAGGCTGTGTACTTTTCGATGAGGCCTGTAACTGGGGCAACGCCTGGTACCAGCAGAGAGTGGTGAGGTCTTCGTGATATCTCAGATTGAGTGTCATTGATTGATGGTCATAAGAACATTCTGAAAAATTTTGGTTTTACTCTTAAGGAGAACACATCTTTTCAGAGAAATCATGGGTTTTTTTTTTTTTTTTCTGTTTACATTCCTTTTGCAGTATTTATTTTCTCCAGCAGGTTTGATGCTGGCCATGTTTTTAGAAATGGCAGGTTTTCTGGCTGTGCTCAGATTTTCCTTGAGAATCAGAAGGAGAAATTGCTTTATTATTTTGGACTTGATACACTAAACTACCCTGTGGTCCCTTCATTTTTCTCTAAGCTACCTGGATCTGGCTGGCAAAATAAAGAGGGGGGAATCATTTTCCTTCTTCATAAATAGACCAAACATATGGCACAGCTGAAGGGCCATTGGGTTATATTTGTTATCCTTCTCTTGACTTACTTTTAGCCTGTGGTAGATTTTCTTTTGCTTAGCTTGTGCCTTAACCTGTACCTTACAGTAACCTCAATAAGGTTGGAATTTCTTCAGAAAACAAGAAAGAAGTGGAGAAGAAGCTGACTGTGAAACCCATAGAAACCAAGAACAAGTTCTCCCAAGCAAAGCTGTTGGCAGGAGCTGTGAAGCCTAAGAGGTCAGCCAGCACTTACACAGCTTAACTGCTCTGAAATGCCACTTGTCATGGCATGGACCAGAGGGAAAGATAACCTGGCATGAGCCTCGATCAAGTCCTTTTGATGTGCTTATGTTCCCTTCCTCTTTGACTTATTGCCTTTTTTAAAAAGATTTATTTATTTATTTTGAAAGGCAGGGTTAAAGAAAGAACAAGATCTTGCATTCACTGATTCACTTTGCAAATGGCCATAATGGCTTGAGCTGAGCCAGTCTGAAGATAGGATCCAGAAGCTTCCACCAGGTCTTGCACATGGGTGCAGGGACCCAAGTGCCTGGGCCATTTTCTGCTGCTTTTCCAGGAGCATTAGCAGGGAGCTGGATTGGAAGTGGAGTGGCCAGAGTTCTAATTGGTCCCCATACTACAGACTTTACCCAGCATGCAGCAGTGCTAGCCCCAAGACTTGGTGTGTTTTGTAGCCTTTGATCCTTTTGTCTGCTCGTTCACTAAACAAACGTGACGAAGGCTGCGCTGCTCTGCATTGGGCACCTACCATGTGCCAGATGCTGTGTTAAGTGCTTGCCATGCATGATCTCATTGCTCTAAAAATTTATAGTAAATGCAGCTCACTGTCACCTTTATTGTAGAGGCAAAACAGATAGTTTGAGAGACTGAGAACCTTTGTTCACAGTCGCCATTTTAATAAGGAAGTGTTTGTCTGTTTTTCAAGGCAAGTGAGGTCACAAGTCCTGTGAAAGGATTTGTGCTTAGGATGTGGGTGGGCAATTGGAGGAACACGTAACTTCCTGTTTGGGCATGCTACAGAAGGATGTTGACTAGGGGGGACAAGGAGGGTTCTGACAGGCAAGACAAGGAGAGAACGTCCCAGCATAGGGAACAGCTGTTGCAAGGGATTGTGGCTGAAAGAACATGGCCGCTGTGACAGGCTTACAGACATTCCTGTGGCACTGAATGATGTTAGGGGGTGTGACACTACCCAGAGGTTTCTGTGAGTTCTTTGTTGATTTGCTCCTCTCTCTCCAGATCTTGACACCAGAGTGATTGAATAGGATTATTCCAATTTGACCAAGTATGGACCATGGGCAAAATGATGTTGAGTTTAAGTGCAGTCTATTAGGAAAATTGATGTAGTGTGCTGGCAACTGGCCCATGTTTTGAAGGGAGTGTGTTGATGCAGTATTGTGGCTTGGCACTCTGTCCATCTGCTGCAGATGTTCCTAGGAACATTGCCTGCATGGAAAAATGTCATCATGGTACAGCAGCAGAAGGGAGGAGTGTTGGTAGCCTGAAAGGGGCCTCTTCCCAAACCATGGATTATTTCTTTCAGGTTCTTATGTAAGCATTTGCAAGAGGGCCAGTGTCTTTCATGATTTGCGCCTGGGTCAATTTTACTGGATTATATCAAGGAACGCTCTTTGGATTAGCAGTTAGTTACCTCTTGACAGTGCTCTTATTGATGGCAGCTAAGTGGATGTTAAAACTATTGCTCCAACTTAATTTTAGATCCATTTTAGAAAGGGCTATATTAGCTTGTATAGTCACCTGAATACAGCTCCTCTCCTTTTGCATGTTGAAACTATGTCATTATAGTTTTGTGTACTAAGGTGGTAAATTAGTCTCCTAGGGTATGAGCTCCTTATCTGTAGTGCCCTAGGTTTTTAAGAATCAGCTGGGAATTTGTTACTACTGTGAATCTGCATCCTCAGGCTAATTCTAGAAAGTTTTGAGTGGAGTGTGGGAGTAATTTTTTAAAGTTTCATGAGTGATTCTGATGCCTGATAAAATCTGGAAGCTACTGATGTGTGTATGTTGTAAAGTATAAACACAAAACAGGCGTCTGTCCCATATCTTCTTTAAAGGAATATATGGTTTTCTTTTGTTGAAAGCAACCACTGGTGCAGTGTTTTTAGCAGTGAAGTCACTCCTTGGGATGTCCATGTCTTGTAATGGGGTGCCTGGTTCAGGTCCTGACTATTCTACTTCTGATCCATCTTCCTGTCTCTGGGAGGCAGTTAAGTAATATTTCATGTATTTGGGTCCCTGCCACCTATGTGAGAAATCAGGTTGAGTTCTGGGCTCCTGGCTTTAACCTGGCCCAACCCTGGCTGTTGCAGGCATTTAGAGAGTGAACCAGAAATGGAAAATCTCCATCTATTTCTGGGTGTCCCTATGTCTTCAAATAAAATGAGAATGTGGAGCCAGCATATGGCATAGTGGGTAAATTTGCTACCTGTGGCACCAGTATCCCTTATGGGTACCAGTTTGAGTCCCGTTTGCTCCACCTCCAGTGCATCTCTCTGCTAATGACCTGGGAAAAGCACCAGATGGCCCAAGTGCTTAGGACCTGAGTGACATAGATGAAGCTCTTGGCTTTGCCCACACCCAGCCCCAGATGTTGGAACCATTTCAAGAGTGAATCAGTGAATGGAAGCCACCTCTCTGTCTCTTGTCTCTCCTTTCTCTGTAGCTCTGCTTTTTTTAAAATTAAGGTTTATTTATTTATTTAGAAAGCCAGATTTACAGAAAGGTCATCCTTTCGCTGGCCTACTCCCCAAGTGGCTGCAATAGCCGGCTGAATTGATCAAGAGCCTCCTCCAGGTCTCCGATGTGGGTGCAGGGTCCCAAGGCTTTAGACCATCCTCTACTGCCCTCCTAGGCCACAAGCAGGGAGCCGGAAGGGAAGTAGAGCAGCCAGGATACAAACTGGTTCCCAGGGCCCAGCACGATGGCGCAGTGGTTAAGGTCCTCACCTTGCACGCCCGGGATCCTGTATGGGCGCCAGTTCTAATCCCAGCAGCCCCACTTCCCATCCAGCTCCCTGCCTGTGGCCTGGGAAAGCAGTCGAGGACGGCCCAAAGCTTTGGGACCCTGCATCCACGTGGGAGACCCGGAAGAGGCTCCTGGCTTCAGATCGGCATAGCATCGGCCATTGCGGTCACTTGGGGAGTAAATCATTGGAGGGAAGATCTTCCTCTCCGTCTCTCCTCTGTGTATATCTGCCTTTCCAATAAAAATAAATCTTTAACAAACTGGTGCCCAAATGGGATCCTGATGCATGCAAAGCTAGGACTTTAGCCACTAGGCTACCACACCAGGTCCTGTAACTGCCTTTCTAGTAAACACATTTTAAAAAATATGTGGGGGAAGAAAATTATTTAGAATCCATGAAATATGATTGTCTCAATTATGTAAATTTTAATTATCTCAATAATTTCTACATCAACAAGCAAGTAATAATGGATAGGTAAAAACACTTAGATGGTGATGCAAAACTTGTATACAACAAAAGTTGAAGAAAACTGATAGCTTTCACAGCCTATAACTGACAAGGACAAATATTAGTAAGCTGATTATCTGTGGCAGGTGTGGCACAATAGATTAAGTGGCACCTTGGATCATCTCGCATTGGGGCGCGAGTTCCAGATCCAGCTGCTGTGCTTCAGTTCTGCTGCTGCATGATGGAAGGTAGCAGATGATCTCATGGTCTTTTCCTTCCTTTCGGTTTTACCTTCATTTATTTGAAAGGCAGACCTACAGAGGGAGGGAGAGACAGATCTTCACCTGCTGATTCACTCCCTAAATGGCTGTAGTGGCCAGGACTGGGCCAGTGTTTTCCTAGGTCCATTAGGAGGGAGCTGGATTAGAGGCACACAGAGCAGGTGGGCAGCAGCTTCACCTATTAGGCCACAAAGCTGGCCCCTGGGGTCATTTCTTCACAGATGTCCTTCTGGTGAGTCCTTGAGAGCCTCTCAGATGATCTGATACGTCACTGTGTAGATTTTCTTCAGTCATTAATAATATAACTAAATTTCTGTCACTTGTTAAATCTATCTGTTGTTCTAACCAAGTTGAACAATGAAGAATAACGAGTTGAAGTGATGCTCGAAAAAATAATGACTCACCCCTTGGATGTGTCAGGAATTTAAGTTGTCTTTGTAACTAATTGTATAATTAGAAGGAGATTAAAAGCCTAAAGGAAGGCTTTTCATTTCAGACCATCTAGCCTCTTAAGTCTGCTTAAGACTCATACAAATGGTTATGGGAGTTCCTGATCTGCTAAGCTTTGATCCACCCAAATTGGACATAGTTCAAATCACCATGGTTTTTGTTACAGCTCAGAGAGTGGCAACAGTGTGAAAAGACTGAAACCAGATCCTGACCCAGATGACAAGAATCAAGGTGGGTGGCACCATCATTTTTATCTTTTACTCAAAAAAGCGTGAACTACCGCTAAAGGTCTGGCATTTTTTCTCTCCCAAGTGTACTTATCTAAATTTAAATTATCAGTCTATTTTATGCCGTGCAGAGTTTGTACCCAAGAGTATGTTTACCTGCCCTGCAAAAGTAATACATTCAAAGCCAGTGGATCTGATAAATGACAGTTGTGTTTTCCCAGGAATGCTTACAGAGCCCTGGTCGTATCACCTCTGCTCACAAAGGGTTTTGTATCTTCCCCAAATGTCAAGTTTCTTAATTTCACGTGGTTTGCTACCCGTGGGAGGTAGAATGCCTGGCTGCTGCTGATACTGGCTTGGCCTGAGTCTGGAAGGCTAATTCGGTCTCCAGGAGCACGTTTTCTTTGGTGTTACTGTTAGGAGGCATTGGTATCTGCCTACATACTACGTGGCACAAAGTTTCAAGCCAGTGTGAATGTTGCTGGGACTAGGTTAGGGAAATTCAAGAGAGTGCAGTTCATCCCAACTTCCTGTGGGATTGAGACTCTGAACTAAACTCATGTGTCATTTATAAAACAGAGCTTATGTTTATATCTTTTCCAAATAGTAACACCTACAACCCCTTTCCCCCTCCCCTTTGGAAAGAATATATGTTGTTTTTATACTGCTTAACATAATGAGTATTGTTTTAACATAATCCACTCTCAATTATTGCTTAATTGACTTGTTACTGTACCTTGGGAATTATTGCCTAATTGGACATGGAGAGCTTTTTTATCTTTTGTAAAGTCTTTGTCATATCCCATTATCCTATAGTATGTTCATCTCTGTTTTTATTGATAAACATTTACATTATTTCCATTCTTTCCCTATTCTAGTGTTTCAGTAATAACTCTGAACATGCATAATTTTTGACATGCACATATATGAGTACAACTGTTAGGTCAGAGAGGATGCCGGTTTATAATTTAGATATTGCCAAATTGCACTTTGGAGAAATTATTCTCATTTTGTCTTCCATAGCAGTGTTCATTGACCTCTTTTTAGCATATAGAAACCTTGCTAAGTTGTGATTAATTGGTAGACTAAATAGAATTAATGAGTGCTATATAAGTGTGCACGTACGCATTATACAGCTTTGTAGGAATCTTAAAAGTGTTTCAGTTAGTAAACTAATTGCCCTGTGTTTAGTACTTACTCCCTGATAGAAACTATTTGAATGAATCATTGGAATTGAAAACTGGTGTGGCTGTGAACCAGCCAAGTCAGACCCTTGTTTCAGAGGGGTTTTTTTTGTTTGTTTGTTTCATATCCCATTTTTCTCCTGCTGTGTTCTCATAGCAGAAGCAAGGCAAGAAATGTCCTCCTTTGCTCAGAACTGAAGCCTCCCCTGCAGAGTGTCTCTTAAGGTTCCCCCTGTTCTCAGCAGAAGAATTTACTCTCTGGTTGTTCCAGAAGATAACTTTGTGACCTCAGTGGAACTTCAGGTTGTTGTTTGAAGAACTACTCCCAAGTCACACATCTGTCTGAGCTTCACACAGATTCTCTGTTAGTACTTTGCTGTGTTAATTTGGTATGACAGTTTGGGCCTGCAAATGTAGAAGTTGGCAGACAACGTCACCAAATGGGTGGAATCAGAGGGCATCAATTCTCTTTGGACTGTTAGCTGCTTCTGGAATGAAATCTGTTAGAGTTGAATTTCTCTTTTCTTTGTTGAAACCTCAAAAATTGGGAGTTTGGTTAGCTGGGTTCCTTCTTTGTTTAGGTCAGCTCTGGTCCTCTATAGGTACTCTGAACTTGACCATTTTCTTTCTAGGACAGGTTCACCTTCCAGATGATCACAATGGCCAGAGCTGGATCAGACCAAAGCCAGAGCTAGGTGCTTTGTGCGGGTCTCCCATATGGGTGGTAGGGGCCCAAAAACTTAGCATCGTCTTCTGTTACTTTCCCAGGCCATTGGCAGGGAGCTGGTTCAGCCAAGACACAGTCGCCTATGTGGGATACTGATGTCCTAGGCAACAGCTTAACCCAGTTGTGCTACAGTGCCAACCCTTTGTAATGAAATTGTTTTCTAACATCTGGTTTCATATGCTTGAAGACATGCATGCTTTTCATATTACATGAGGTTTCTAGGTAAGTGAAGTGTTAGTGTGTGTCAGGCAAAGCCCTGGGGGCAGTGAATTGTGACCTCCCATCCTCTCTCACTGACCTCAGGGACCATTTAGGTACATTATCTTGTAATCCACGATTAGTTTTAAGGCTTTCTATGTAAGTGACCCCATGCCCTTGCCACGTCATTTGACTTGCCTCACTTAGAGGAAAAGATGGGTGGAGCTGAGATCTTTTTTCTTTTATCTTCAAAGTCTGTATTTTCTAGACTGAGGCGTTCCATCTTTGGAGTGGCAGAGAAGGAAGAGTCCCAGCTAGTTGATGACATTCTGTAGAGTGTTAAATGTTACCTGTCTGGCTTCAGTTCTTTCACAGTTGTGTAAAAGGAACACAGTTGGAAAGCAAGGGTCGTGTTTCATCAGTTTCTAAATTGCTCAGCTCCTCCATCAGGGAGAAGCAGACCTTCTTAATAAGGAACATTATTTTGCAGCTGAGGTTTGCCCTTTGAGATTGTGTGCTAGCTGGCACCGGTCAGAAAGTATGGATGGTGTAGTATGCCAAGAATTGAATTGTTAACTCTGCCCCTGTGTCTCTGAAGCTGGCTTCCTTTCTGCTGTTTCCTGCCCTGTGAATAACTAAGGATAATACAGACTAGCCTTCCACTTGTACTGCCATGGCTGTGTGGGTGCAGGGACATCAAACCTCCCTCTCAGAGCTGGTGGAGAAGAGAGGGTGGACAGGCGCTGGGCTTAAAGAGACATTGACAGATTCCCAGCTTTGAGAAGTCCTTTCCCCCTGAGGACCTTCCCTTCCTTTAGTTTCTGCACAAGGTTGCTCCCATGCTAGTATATGGGTGAAGCCCTATGCATGGTGCCTGGCACTGAGAAGTGAACATTGAGCTATGGCAAAGGGTGGTGAAGTAACAGTCCTCCTTCTTTACAGAGGCTGCATCCTGTGTGTCTGTCGGAAGCACTTCCCTGAGTGGTCCCTCCATCCACTGCCCCTCTGCTGCAGTCTGTATCGGCATCCTCCCAGGCCTGGGTGCCTACTCGGGGAGCAGCGACTCTGAGTCCAGCTCAGACAGCGAAGGCACTATCAACGCCACAGGGAAGATCGTCTCCTCCATCTTCCGAACCAACACCTTTCTGGAGGCTCCCTAGCTCCCCTGTCCTCAGCACAGGGAGCTCCTCTCCTCCAAGTAGTTGGACTGTTCATCCTGCCTGTGGGCGTTACCTCCCCTCAGAAACTCAGCGTCTGCCTCCTGTACACACCATGTTTTTAACCTGACCCAAAAATGTGCCAGAACCCATTTGTGGCCCGAATTGCATTTAGTTTCTTTCTACTCCAGTGCAGATGACCAGACCTGTCCTGCTGCCCCTTCCTTCTCTGATGGGATCAGCTGGGGGCAAGGCGCAGCAGAAATTCCTGGGAGGATCGGCACCAGCTGGCTTGCAAAGGGCTTGGGTTATATTGCTTTCTTGTTTTCCTTCTACAATAGTGCTGGAAAACAAGGGCAGTAACTGGACAGGTCGTATCTACCTGTCCTAGTGTAGATGAACAAACACATTGCTTGGTTCTGCTGCTCTGTGGGGTATGTGGGGGAGGAGAAGTGACCCAGGTGAGACATGGAGCACATCCTGGAGCTCACCAGTTTTTGATGTTGTGTGACTAAGATGACAGAGTACGCTTGAGGGGGTGTCCGTAGCACTCATTGCTGTCCTGTCATCTTTCTTACTCGGCCTTTCTCCGTCCTCTCTGCATCTGGTTCCCTGTATGTGGGAAGGGGCTGCAAAGAAAGCTGCCACCTTCTAGTCAGACCTTTCTCTGCCTGGTTGCTTTGTTTTTGTTTTTGAAATAAAGGACTTCAGTTTAAGATTCTGAATCTTGGAGAAACAAGCAGCCCTTATTTAATTATGGCAGGAAATCAGAACTGATGCTGATAGAGATGATAATGAGATGATGTATTTCTGGCAGCTTCTGGAATACAGATATTGCAAACTAGTGGTACACGCCTGAATATTGTAACTGTACTCTGCATACTGATACAGAGTATACTTGTGGCTCTTAACCAGGGGGGCTGTTTCTAGCCTAAGGTGCTTCCTCAGAACTTTGTCTCAGCTGCTGCCCCTGTCTCAGCTGCTGCCCCTACTGTCGTTTTCCTCTCCCAAAATTAGAGTTACTGCTCCACTTCTTTGAAAAGGCAACAGGCCCTTCCCTCTGGGAGGGAGGCAGAGGAAGGAGATGTGTGAAGGCCTCAAGGACCAGGGTAAACATGAACCTTAGACACATCTCTACACACCCTGCTTCAGAACAATGAGCCTGTACAATGCTTTTGCCTTATTCCCTTAGACCCATAGTCTGCGTTTGGGGGTGTGAGACCGAGCGAGACACACAGAGAACGTGTTGGCTCTGTGACGCTGGCAGACAGAGAAGCTATTTAGTTTTAACACGGGCAGAGAGGCCCCTGGATTGGATCCAACTTGTTCCTTTCCCCCTTCCAATGCGGTGACACTCGGGTGCCCATTGGCAGATGGCAACTTCCCTTCACCCATAACTGATGCCTTGTGAATTTGTCCTCCTTCTCAGAACTATTCTGTGCTAATTGTTCTTGACTGTCAGTATGGGTGCATCAGCTCCTTCTTACAAACAAGACGTTGAGGTAAAACTGTGTAGGCACCTTCTGCTTCTCTGCTTCATTGTTCCTGTGATTGTGCTGTCAACTGTTCACAGCACATACCCAAAGCAAGCTCACATCATTTCAGGAGGCAGCCCAAGAAATCAAAATCACCACCTTCATGTGATTTGACTCCCAAGATGCTGTGACTATACCTTGTGCCTCTGGCCCTAATGTGGAAAAAGGTTGACAGGGTTGCAGGGATTAAATACATTAACTCGAGAAAGGTAATAAGCCTGTTCAAGAATGAGATCTTGCTTTTTGTATGCTGCATCTCATTCTTCCAGTTCACCCCTCCTCTCACAGCTAGGATGTGCTGGGGGTACTTGAGCTCTTCAGACGGAGCTTTCTGCTCTTGTCTTAAGAGCCATGGAGAGTTACTGGTGGTCATCATATTCCAGCCGAGGGCCCTGACACTGAAATGTTGCTTCTGAGTGGGCAGTTGCTAACAAAGCAGGGGCTGGTCTGACCAACAGAAGCAGCAGCTTTGGAAAGCATCCCGTGTAGAATGACTGTGTGGCTCAAAACCAAAGAACAAACAGAGATAAGAGGAAGCACCATTGCAAACCACAGGCTGCAGTACAGTTCACTCCATGTCTGAAGAGGTGGATATTTGTATGCTCAACTGACTGGACTGCAAACACAAAGTTGCATCCAACTTGGATGTGTAGGTTTTTTTCTTGTCATCCCTTAATGCAATGCAATGTAACAACAATAGCTGCAACATTACCTGGTATTATTCAGGTAACTTGGAGAGGATTTAAAGTGTATAGGATTTAAGATGGATAGGTTCTAGACACATAGTGTGTGCTATCCTATAGAAGGGGTAGCATCCATTTGGGGTTTAGAACCAATGTGTCAAGGAACATTGGTTAATAGTCGGGATTTTATAACAAGAAGAGATGAAAACAAAGCTTGGGCTGTGTTTTTTTTTTTTTTTAAAGATTTATTTTTATTATTTTTTTATTGGAAAGGCAGATATACAGAGACAAGGAGAGACAGAGAGGAAGATCTTCTGTCCGATGATTTACTCCCCAAGTGAGCGCAATGGGTCGATACTATGCCGATCCGAAGCCAGGAGCCTCTTCCGGGTCTCCCACGCGGGTGCAGGTTCCCAAAGCTTTGGGCTGTCCTCGACTGCTTTCCCGGGCCACAGGCAGGGAGCTGGAAGGGAAGCGGGGCTGCCGGGATTAGAACCGGCGCCCATACAGGATCCCGGGCGTGCAAGGCGAGGACCTTTAACCACTTGCGCCACTGCGCCGGGCCCGGGCTGTGTTTTTAACTGAATGGCAGTGTCCCAACCATGGGAAGGAGAAAGTTCAGTGGAATCCTATTACCTGTTTTATTTGAGGACAATTATCTAGTTGTCAGTAGTGTCCATCTAGCCATTTGCTGCTGGCCGTTTACTTTGGTCACTGTTACCCACCTGCCTGGGAGGGTAGGGGGACGCGGAATTCAAAGCATCCATTTTCCTTTCTGTAAGAAGCAGGGAGGTTCATGTGAATGAACCCAAAAGCGTACGCAGCTGCCTGTTTATAAGGGCCTGTCTTGAGTCCTTGGACGCAGAGGGGAGATCTGATAGCTCCCGAGATCCAGGGTAGGGGGGGGGCTCCTGCTTGTCAGGAACATTCTAAGCCCCTGACTAGCACTGCCTTAGGCTCATCTGCATCTTCATTTCATTCCCAGTTCATTGGTTGTTTCCTGCTGGCTGCCTCCTTCCCAACTAAAAAGATTCATTTTCCAGAGACCCAACCCCCATCACTACTGCTGCTTGAGAACAACCTGGTTCCATTTCTAAGGATCTCCAATAGTGTTTTTGAGCCTGGAGCCATGCCTTGAATAGCTGTGTCACTTGGACAAGGTCCTTAACCTTTCTGGGCCTCACTTGTTTCATTGGTAACTAAAGGGAGTGCCAACATGCTAGGAGAGATCACAGACAACCTGGGTTAGGTGCTGGATGTGGAACCTGGGACTTGGGTCTCACTCAATAAGTAGTGATCATCCCCATTAGTACTGTTATTTAGCCTTCGCTTGTCCTCCCCCCATTTCTGAGTGGCGAGTGCTGATTGATGCAGGTTTGTCTAGTCCAGTAGCATTTCTCAGTTGCAACCAGCACCCTCACATTATGAAGGGTCAAATTTGATTGTGAGACCTTCAGCCATCAGCTCCTGCTGTGTGCATGGCTCCTAGCTAAATGGGAATTACTCAGGCACACCCGGTCCCTTGGCTCACGCCTCCTAGCCATGGAAATATGGCTCAGCTGTTATCTCAACCCCTCCAGAAAAACAGAAAGGAAAGCTCGGTGGTAATGTACGCTCACTTGGACTTGGATGTTTTCTTGGTTTGCTGGCATGCCCAGTCCTCTTACGCAAAACAGGATGGAATGCAAGGTCTGCTCAGTGGGAGGCTAGAATCTTGGCAGCACTTGGTAGTCACAGGTTGAACATAAGAGGCCATTCGCACATTCATGCCTTGGTGACGCTGGCAAAGGCTGCTGGCAAGGGCTCGCATCTTGCTCCCTTATCTGCTGTGGCAATGGGGGAGTGGAGGAGGGAGTTGCACAGCAGAGAGCAGGTAGCATGTAGTGTCAGCCTCAGAGCTCTGCAGAGGAGACAGGGAGAGAACTCCGAGATGACCTGCGCCAGGAAGTACAGGCTCATCTCCCTGGCCGTCACCTGGTGCCAGTCGTGCACACCGGCATCCTTTATGCTGATTGCTGTCATCTGTACTGAGCTTGCAAAGTGTAAGGGACTTCCAAGAGTGAATGGGAAACTCGCGTTTTATTTTTTTAAACATTTATTTTTATTGGAAAGACAGATGTACAGAGACGAGGAGAGACAGAGAGGAAGATCTTCCAGTTGTTGATTTACTCCCCAAGTAGCCGCAGGGGCCAGAACTGTCCTGATCTGAAGCCGGGAGCCCAGAGTCTTCCGAGTCTCCCATGCAGTTGCAGGGTCCCAAGCCTTTGGGCCGTCCTCCACTGCTTTCCCAATCCATAATCAAGGAGCCGGATGGGAAGTGGAGCAGCTGGGATTAGAACCGGTGCCCATATGGGACCCTGGCTCATGCAAGGCAAGGACTTCAGCCACTATGCTACCATGCCAGGCCCTCAATTTTTTTTTTTTATCCCATTTGTCCACTGTTTGAAGCTACCTCTGGTGTGCCAGACTGTGGGGCATTTGTGGACTATTTTTGTAGGCTGCAGTGTCTGATCCTCAAAGTCCTGTGAAGCAGCCCTTTGTTTAAAAAACTAGTGAAAACTCCCAGTGGCCTGAGGTGGCATTGCTGGGTGGTGACTAGAATCTTCCCTTGAGCCTTTACCTTGTAGGTCTGGCTTTCTGTGGTTTCAACTTTTTTTTTAAGATTTTTTTTTTTGAAAGCCAGAGTTTCAGAAGGACAGAGAAAAAGATCTTTCGTTTACTGATCACTCTCCAAATGGCTACAATGGCCAGGGCTCGGCCAGGCTAAAGCCAGGCGCTCCTTCCAGGTCTCTCACATGGGTACAGGGTCCTTGGGCCATCCTGTTCTGCCTTTCCAGGCATGTGAAGAAGGAGCTAAATTGGAAGTGGAACAGATGGCAGCCTAACTCACAATACCACAGTACTAGCCCCTCAGCGACATTCTGAAACAGTTGCCAACAGTTGCTAGTGCATACCCTGCAGTGGGGGATTCAGGGATGAGGGGCTGTCTAGTGAGATCCCCATGTTCATTTTTCAGCTTACCATCCTTGTGGAAGCAGCCAGGCTTGTATTCTTTTCTAAACATTGGTGTGTAGTCACAGCGCTTTCTTCTGTGAAATGATGCCAGCCAGAAGTCAAGGGTCTTGCTTGGCTTACCCCTCCCCTGCTCAGGCCACAGCCTCTGGCACAAATAGGAACAGAGGGCTAGGTTGGCCCCCACAAGAAGCCTGGACGTAGGGATTGCAGCCACCATCTCTGAGGCTGGGTGTTTGTAAGAGTAAAGCCTTTGGGATGCACACGGCATGGACTTTGCCTTCGTGTGGCCCAGTAGACATTCCATCAGTTTCACCAGTCTGGTAAGCTACTCTCCCATGGGAGATGGAAGGGAGTCCCACACCTGCATACACCCATCCCCAAAGGTTGGGAGGAGGAGGCAGCTGCCTGGAGAGGCCCCAGTCACTCAATGGATTCTCCCAGGCTGGGTTGGTCACAACATTACCAGGATGGGATATCCTTCAGATTCATCTCAACTCAAAAACAAGAGTGAAACAATAGGACCTGGCATGGTGGCCTAGTGGCTAAAATCTTCACCTTGAACATGTCAGGATCCCATATAGGCGCCAGTTCTAATCCTGGCAGCTCCACTTCTCATCCAGCTCCCTGGTTGTTGCCTGGGAAAGCAGTCGAGGACGGCCTAAAACTTTGGGACCCTGCACCTGCATGGGAGACGTGGAGGAGATTCATCGCTCCTGACTTCAGATCAGTGCAGCTCCGGTCATTGTGGTCACTTGGGGAGTAAATCATTGGATGGAAGATCTTTCTCTCTGTCTCTCCTTCTCTCTGTATATCTGACTTTGCGATAAAGAATAAATAAATCTTTAAAAAAAAGAGTGAAATTGGGCCCGGCGCGGTGGCGCAGTGGTTAAGGTCCTCGCCTTGCACGCCCGGGATCCCATATGGGCGCCGTTTCTATCCCGGCAGCCCCGCTTCCCTTCCAGCTCCCTGCCTGTGGCCCGGGAAAGCAGTCGAGGATGGCCCAAAGCTTTGGGACCCTGCACCCGCGTGGGAGACCCAGAAGAGGCTCCTGGCTTCGGATCGGCATAGTATCGACCCGTTGCGCTCACTTGGGGAGTGAATCATCGGACGAAGATTCACGGAGGAAGATCTTCCTCTCTGTCTCTCCTTCTCTCTGTATATCCGCATTTCCAATAAAAAAATAATAAAAATAAATGTTAAAAAAAAAAGTGAAATAGTCATGTGCTGTGGTTGCAACCAACAGCTGCTCTTGCAGTGGGCCCAGGCAAATGAGCTGCAGCTTACCAGATGTGCTCGGACTGGTGTTCTGTCCACGTTGCCAACCTGGGGACCTGGCGGCAATGCCATCTTGAAGGACCGTCCACCTGTCAGAGCCCACACTGCCCTGCAGCACTCTCATGAGAAGTGAAGGGCAGTAATGATTAGCAGGATGGGTTGGCTTGGAGCCACAGAATGAGCAGAGGCACTGGAAGCATATGATCAAGGTGTCCCACACCCCCACCGCATCAGGTGGCTCCTAAGGTCACTGGGCTCCTGGAGGTGGGAACCTGCCTGGTGCTGCCCCGTTCTAGCAGGCCACTAGTAGAAAGTGGTGACCTGGGAGGGTAGGTGGAGGTAGCTGACTCCTCAATTATTGGGGTACAGAGGGAAAAAGTCATTAGTGGCTTGGGCAGAAGAACTGCTTGTTAGAGGGAAGGGAAGGTATGCGAGACTGGAACAAGTGTGGGCTGTATGAAAGGCAGACTCAGCTAGTTGTTCTGTCTCCACCTCCGGTAGACTGGACATCCTTCTCTGCTTATTTCCTCATCTCTGGGGCTGCTGAAGGTTCTTGACAGTGCTGTAAAGTGTTTACACAGGGCTGGAAACATCAGGCCCAGAAGAAATGTTTAGTGGCAGTGGTTACATGGAGCTTGTGTTGAAGGGGCTAATGAACTCCAAGAGGTGAAGGGAGGATGCGTGATGGTGGGAGAAGCAGGGATACGGAAGATGATGGCCAGATTTTTAGAGACTGGGTCTCTGGATGCCTTTGTGGAATTGAACTTGAGAGCTCATGAAGTCCCCACTAAAGAAGGAGCTGACACAAGGACGTCTGAAACCCATTTTTCCCCCCTGAGAATAAACAAGTAGATCAAAGTCATAGTATTTTTAAAAAATCAGAACATCAGTTGGGCATGGGTTAGGATACAGAGGTGTGCACTGGGGACACATTCCTTTCAGTCTGTAGCTAGTTATTTGGAAAAAGCCAATCGTGATTGTAAAAATTTTATTTTTAATAACAATAATAACTGCACTCAAATGATACAAAGTACATTCAATACTTAAGGGTGGGGGAGGAGGAAAGGAAGCCGCTTTGGCCTCTGGAAGCGTCATCAGTTTGACTCCAACAAAAGAGGCCCAGCTGTGCTGGGGGAAGTTGAGGGTGGAAGTCCGGTTGTAAAAAATGAAAACGTGAATTGGCTAGAAAAAGGCCACCCACAGGGAAGCAGGACAACAGCATGCTCCTGGGGGAGGGCGGGCGGCCCGGCAGCCACATGCTGCTGCTGGCTGGGTGGGCGCTGGTGCTCAGGCGGGCTCCGAGTTGGTGGGGGGCAGGTTTTTATGCTTGAAATACTGCACAACTTGCTGGGGCAACTCCGCCAGCACGGCTTTGGCCAAAGTCTCTTTTGCTGCCTGCAGAGCAGAGGGTAGGGCGGGGGGTGGGGGTGGGGGAGATAAAGAATGAAGATTAATGTGGGCTCAGAAGTTGTGAGGGACCCCATGCCATACAGCTGTAAGAACAGGTATCCACGAAGGCCATTAGGGCCAAGCTCCAGCTTCCCTGAAATTTCACCACTAAGCAACGCCTTTCTCTACATTAAGTGTAACTCTTACCTTGACATTTTAGTTTGAATTTGCCTGTGGGAGGCTTTTAGGGGAGAGACAGCGGAGGCGAGCTGAACAGCGTACTCATCTATCTGGCAAACATGTTCTAAACACCTTCTTAGCTGGTATACTTGGGCATAACTGACTGGTCCACTGCCTGGTGGCCAGCCCCAGGCCAGGTGTGTGGAGGAGATGCTCAATCACCATCCCTTGTGGGACTTAGTTGACCGATGCCCAGCATTTGCCCTTAGGGGGCTAATGCTCCAGGGGAAGGAGCAGAGCACTCCCACCCTACTCCTGGGAGAGGAGGAGGGCCCACTACTCAATTCTAGGACTCAGAGGCTCTTCTAGCTGCAGGGACTTAGGCTGCTGGCACCAAGGATGGCAACTGGGAGATGGCACGTGAAGCCTGCAGCCTGCCTCCTTATAGGCAGACCTGGGATCACTGCAAGTAAGGCCAGAACCACCAGTCCCCTTAACAGAAGTCAATCTAATAGAAGGAAGGGCCTTGTCTTCCATTTCTCCTACAAAGAGGGGCTGGGTAAGTACCAGAAAAGTTCCTCTTTCCTCCCCTGGAGGTCACTTCCCTCCATCTGCCTGAACTATTGTATCCCTCCAGAGACCCTGCCAGACAGAGCACTGCTTCTGTTGGCGTCATCCAAGGCAAGGCCTGGCATGATTGGCACATGTAACCCTTGGAAGTACACAAACACTGGCACTAGGTGTGAAGGAGGCCAAGAACAGGCTGCAATAGCCTGTGACTTTTCATCTTTAATGTTGAACTCTAGTTGCCTGGGTCCTGGAACTGCCTCCCATCCCACCCCAGCTGAGACCCACACACTCACATTGCGGAACTCTCGAAAGGGCACAAACTGCACGATGTCCCGGGCTGCCTCCTCCCCCGTGTGGGAGCGCAGCCTATGGCTGTCCCCATCCAGGAACTCCATGGCAGTGAAGTCGGCATTGCCCACACCCACGATGATGATGGACATGGGCAGCTTCGAAGCCTGCACTACGGCGTGCCGTGTCTCCTCCATGTCGCTGATAACGCCGTCCGTAATGATGAGCAGGATGAAGTACTGCTGCAGGGAGGGGGACAGTGGCATCTCAGCAGAGCTCCAAACCCCTGCATCCCTGCTACCTCCCTCTCTGCTTCTCCCAGCCTGTCAGCTCTTCTGACAGCACTTCAGCCACCTACTGTGTTGCTGTAGCCCAAGCTTAGAACTTTCCTCCAGCCCCGTGTGCCACCCTGGATGCCACTATTGAGATGTCTGAGAGGCCAGAATCAAAGTCTGTCGTTGCTACTTCTGTACCGTGGGACTCAGCAACTGACTCAACGCAGGATGGCTCAGTTTCTTCATCTTCAAAGTGTGCCTGATATGGCGGCAGCACAGTTGGCAGCCTTCACGATGGCCAAAAGACTCCCATCCCAAGAGTGGGTGTGGATACCTGTAATCCCACTTGTTCCCTCCTCAGCTTGGTATCTAAGATACCTTACTGGAGCTGAGAGTCCAGGCTACAAGGCTCCTGGGAGTGTGGGACCTGTGCTGGGCAACAAATGGCTTCGAGTCACCTGCCAGATGTGGCTTTGAACATCCCAGAGGCACAGCGAGAAGAGTGCTTGTTTCGGGAATGGTCTTTCTGTTTCAGGAATGTGCCCAGCAGGGCAAGTGTTGTTTGGTGCTGTTGTGTCTTTCAGGTTTCTGTAGCATTTGTTCCCCTCCCTTAGCAACAGCAAAAGAAGGCAGGAAGCTGGGCACTTCAGGAGGTAGTAGTCTCCAGCCAGACTCTTAAGACCACCGAGAAATATTTCTTTTGATTGTTACCTTCTGTTTATGGCTAGCCGTACTGGTTTTTTCATTTCTAGGGGATCGAAAGTTTCTTTGTAAATCACTTGAGTGCAAAGATGCGGAATGATTAGTGTGGGTAAGCATGAGAAAGTTCAAACTCTGAAGATGAGGGGTGGGATGGGGGAGGGCTGGTGAGTGAATGAAACCAGGAGAGCCCAAGGGTGGATCCCATGGATAGAGGGGCCATGTACCCTGGCTGGCTCAGCTGTCGGCTTCAATATCGCTCTGTTCTTAGCCCCTGTGGTTCATTTTAGAAACTCATAGGAAAGCATAAACAGATGCACCTTGGATCGTAACTTCTCTCTGGATCTCTGCCTTCTTACCTTGAGCACTCAAGATCCCTGGGAATGACATTTTAGTTTGAATGTGCCTGTGGGAGACTTTTAGAGGAGAGACAGCAGAGCTGTCTTTCCATTGCCAGAAGAGGAAATTGGGCCCAGACAAGACAAGGTCATGGAACTAAGGAGGGCAGAATGGAGCCAGACTCCAGGCAGCAGTTGGCCACCTTCTCATTTACTCAAGCCGTTGGCTCCCTGGAAAACTGACAAAGACCCAGCCCTCAAGGGTGCCTTGCTTCTCTTGTCTGTCCTCCAAGGGCATTCTGGGGAAGGAAGGGCAGGGTGGGCCATGGGCCAACATGGACCCAGTCTCCTCAACCTAGCTCCAGGCAGCAATAGTGCTGTTCTGTGCCTTTAAGAGACCATTCTCTTGGCTGGGGATACCTGTTGCCATGGAGATGACAGCCTGAATCCTGCCGTGGAGGGCTGCCATGGCCAGCCCCCCATTTCCAGCTCTGGGGGGCATCCTAAACTCACCAGATTCTGTCCCTCACAACCTACCATTGTTCTGGGGCCCCTGCCCCTAGCTCATTCCCTAACTCCAGCTCTGTCCTGCAGGGAACAGTCTAGGACAGTGTTTCTGGGGCACTTAAGCTGGCAGGAAGGAGGGCGCTGAGAGGTCTGGCAAAGAGAAAAGGAAAGAATGCTTGACCTTGGTCTAATGGGCCTTACCACTCAGTGGGTGGGACTTGTTTCCAAACCCCTTCCACTTTAGGTACTGGTCCTCCTTCCAAACCCCCACCACCAGGGCTCTCCCATTTCAATCAGCCACGCCATGCAGCTAGATTAGACAACACAGAGAGCTCAGGCCTGGGCCTCCCTGATAGTTGTGCAGCCTTCCTCCCTGGGGGAAGAAGGGGTCTGGCTCCCTGGACACTGACAGACAGCCTAAGAGTCTATGGCAATACACAGCAAGTGACAGGGTCTCTAAGACATGCCCTGTATGATGCCCCTTTTAGAGGGGACAAGACAGGTTCAGCGAGGTGAAGTGATGTGTGAAGGCTTCATAGGCAAAGTCCAGATTCAGATCCAAGTCTGGCTGACTGCACAGCAAGTTTCTCCAGGACAGTCCCTACCACCGCCCCATGGCATGGTATCTCTCCAACAGTGAGGCCCCAGCAGGGAAAAGCTTTTCTTTCACCCAGCACCCTGATGCCTGAACTTCCAGAACAGTAGTACAGTATAGGGCCCAGGGCCCTGGCATTGGATGTGAATCCTCCCTTCTGTGTGCAGTCGCATGCCCATGTCCATGTGCCTGGCCTCAGCTCCTACCCAGCCAGGCCTGTGAGACAGCCAGCAGCCTGGGCCAACCTTGGCTGTGCAAATGAAGGCAACAAGTCCTGGGCTCCTCACCCAGCCTGAGCAGAGCCACAGTTGTTCAGGGGCCTCCAAGGTCCATGATAGCCTCAGGGGTCATAGCCCCACCCCTAAGACAGCAGAAGGGAGGCTGGAAGGGGAGAGAGATGCGAGTGAAGCAGCCACCCCCAGTGTTCCCACCTCCATGTCTCTCCTGGTTTCATTCCTTCTTCTTGACATAGCTTGCCTAGCCACAGCTGTAAGCCATCGGAGTGGAGACTCCCCTGCCCTAAGCAGGCACAAGGCTGGTGATGATCTCTCAGCGAGCACTTCCCTGGACACCCTCTCTCTCTCCATACTGTGAGTGCTCCAGGCAGTCCCTCACACGCATACACACTCCACACCTCCAAGGCTTGTGTGATGTCCGCATGCCAAAATCAGCCATTTGCTATCAGGCCGAATCCCCAAACTCCCAACACACTCCAGGGATGGGCACTCTTTTCTTTTACCCAGAGGTGCTTCAGGTGCCTAGAACTGTAAATAGTTGCTTCCCCTAATGCATTTATCATGTGATTGGATTGACAAGAAATTGACCACAACACTTCCAGGCAGAGTCTGGGGAAACTGCACTTAGTCCCTGGCTTATTTATGAGACATTGGTTGCAAGGGCCCTGCAGATGGAGGGTGTGGGGGGCGGTTCCTGGGATGCTAGCTGTTTCCTTTGATCCTCCTGCACTGGAACACCGGTACCAAGGTGACCAACTAGGGTAAGACAGGAACAGCAAGGCCCAGAACATGAAGGCCCATCATGGCCCCTAAATCCAAACCAGCTTTATACTCTCCAGTGGCTCTACACTACACTCAAGAAAAACATCCCAATGCCCAATGGCTTTGTAAGCCTCATCTGTCCCCACTTGCTCTTCTACCTCAGGTCTTCACTCCAGTCATGCCACACAGCAGGCCTCAGGACCTTGCCCTAGGGTAGGCCTTCTGCCTGGGCCCTTCGTGCACATGCAAACTTTAGAAAGCTAACTCTTACTCTTCCACCATGTTTCAGCTCAGAAATCACTTTTCCAGGAAGCCTGCCCTGAGCCCTCTGGGTTGGCTGCCAGCTTTATGATCCTATACTACCATCGCAGGTTCAGTCACACTGCACCACAGCTGCTGCCTCCTGGTCTGGCTCCCCATCAGCCTGAAGACTCGGGGCTGGTGTGGGACGAGGGGGCCAGAGGCCATATCTTGCTCATCACAGTCTCACCAGTGCTTTGCAGAACTGTGCGTGGTGAGGATGTATTCAGTGAATGAATGGGAGGATGCAGGCCTGCCTAGAGAGACGCTTCCACCACCTGCTCTCTGTTTCCTGTATGTGGGTGTGCCAGTGTGTGCATATGTCTGGGGACAGGGAGGGCTGTGCCACACCAAATACTCCCCCCAAACCAAAAAACAACTGAAAAAAAATCACATGATACGCCGATGACTTCCTTTTGCATTGGGTCTCAGTGAGCTCAGCCAAATGCTAGCCCAAGAGGTAACCCCAGGAGATTCAGCCACCATGGAAGCCCTTGTGTGCCAGGCACTGGGCTAAATAATTTCTGCATGGTTGGATCCTCACCATTCTTGTAGAAGGCAGGTGTTATTTCCACCATCTCTGTTATATGAATGAGAAACTGAAGCTCAGTGAGCCTAAGCTATCTGCCCTGGGTCACACAGCCATGAAGTGAGGGAGCTGAGATGTGAAGCAGATTGATGGGGCTCCCTCCAAGAGCTTGAAGCTGAAACATTTGGCAGCCTCCCCTTCCTTTGGTGTACATGAGATCAGGGATGGTGTAAGGCAGCAAGTACAGAATAACTGTAACTGCCCCTGGGCACCAGAACAAAAGGGGCCAGTAGAGACTCTCCCACTCCTCAGGCCAACCTCACTTCTGCAGCCCAGAAAGTCTTGGAGATCAGCTAAGGTCACACAACCTGGATGGGTGACAGAGCTTACTAAGGACAAGGGAGCCAGGATAAGGCCACTTCCCTCAGGCTAGGAGGACCGGGTCAGGACAGAAGTGACTGGAGAATCAGGACTAGCTGTCCCTTGCTTGAGCTTCAAGTCTTTTTGTTCCAAGAAAGGGTCAAGCTCTTCCCTCCAAGAAGTCCTCACTCCCCAGAACACAGAAGCACACAGGTTGGCACCAGCCCTGGGGTGCAGCAGTCACAAGCCCACCTTTTCCTAGGACCACATCTCCTGCCCAGTCTTGGCCCTGGCTCAGCAGATGCAGCAGGTGAAAGAGCCTTGGCAGCAGCTGAATGCTGGGATGCACTCCTGCTCCCTGCCCTGGGTTCTTCCCATTAAACAAACACACAGGCCCTTTTTCCCCCCATCCCTTTGAAAGGCAGCTCAGGCAGCTGGCAGAAGGGTGGGGCAATAACCCTGGCTTCTCAGTGGGAGGGGCCCTAGCTGAAGGTTGCCTCTCATTCCACCCTCTTCAACCAGACCTATCCTCGTTTAACCTCTAGGAATTAAGGTGAGTGGGTTTTGACATTGAGACAACTGGCATCCCACATCAGAGTTAATTGGCATGACTCCTGATTCCAGCTACCTATGAATGCAGACTCTGGTCACTGGGTCTCTGCCTCCGATGCTAGGAGACCTAGATTAAGTTCCAGCTCCTGGTTTCAGCTCTGGCTCAATCCTGGCTATTGTGGGCATTCAGGGAAGGAGCCAGTAGATGGGAGCTCTCTCTGTCTCTCAAATAAATTAATTTTAGAAAACAGAACAAGGACTGCTATCACAGCACAGCAGTCGCCTGTGACTGGTATCCCCATGAATGCTAGTTGGAGTCCTGGCTGCTCCACTTCCAATCCAGCTCCTTGCTAGTGCACCTGAGAAAGTAGCAGTGGATGCCCCAAATGTTTGGGTCCCTGCCATCCATGTGAGAGACCAGATGGAGCTCTGGACTCCTGGTTAGCCTGGACCAGTTGCGGAGTGACTCTCTGTCCCTCATTCTCTGTAACTCTTCCTTTCAAATAAAATAAATCATTAATAAACAAAAACAAAACAAAAGAAACCACAAAGTACCACCCAGGCCTTTCCCAATTCAGGTTTCCCATTCAGACTGCCTCTGGTCCTCACATCACTCCAAGGTTTTCTGCTATTTCCCAAGAGAAAATGCTTAGCGCAGAGAAGGGACTTGTCTCAGCACCACGGTCAAGGCTGGGGTCAGTTATCCCACAGCAGTAAACCAGCACCCTGTCTTCTGCACCCTTTGACCTCCTTTCTGCTTCAGGGTTCCATGTGTGCTGTTCCCTCTGCCATAGGATGCTCTTCCTTGAACTCATTGCTGGTCTGTCCTTTCTAGTCTCCTTTGGGTACCAGGCTCTGCATCATCTCATTTAATCCTAAAAACTGCTGCCTCAAGGTAGGTTCCATTAGTGTTCCCATTGCACAAGCTAAGTAAGTGAGGGTAAATGACCTGTTCTGGTCATTGGTGAGCAAGGGAGAGACAGGGTAGGATTCAAACTCTGGCACCTGCTTCTGGGGTTCTCTCCACTCAAAGACTGCAGCTGCCCTTCGATCAGGACAGGCCTGCCTCCCCTTACTCATGTAACTGCCCAACTCCTGTCTTTGCTCCCAGAAGCCAACCTCCCCCTCGCTCATGGCTGGGTGTCCCCTCCTCTGGGCAGTCCCCACAGTCCCTTTATTTATGGACTTGGTCCCTTCCTTAGTCTGGTCCATGTCTCCAGGGCCTGGCACGGTGCACAGCCATGACAGAGCTGACCTAAATCTATTTGTTTACAAAGCAGAAGGAGTACCTGCCACATACCAGGCATTGAGCCAAATGACGAGATAACAGTGTACAGAGTCCTAGTCCCCCACAGCCACCCCAAAGGGCTGAGGGCCCCCTGCAGAAATGTACAACAGACAAGCAGATGTGGACAATGTGCACGCTGACCCTTGTCAAGAGCAAGATGGGAGCTCTCAGAAACAGCAGGAGACCCAAGAGGTCAGGCTGGTGGTCAAGGCAGGCTGCCCCAGGGAGGCAGCTTTGGATGGGGCCTTGAGGGATGAGACGATGCTGTTTGCACAGAAAGCCTGGGGAGGAAGCAAGGCCATAGCTTGGCATATGCTGCTGTTTGGATATGGTTATTTTTTAAAATTTGCATTTAATTGAAAGGCAGATAGGGACAGTTACAAGTTTCCCATCCAGTGATTCACTCCCCCAAATGCTGCTAAGGCTGAGCTAGCTTGATAGCAGAATCCCAGAACTCAACCTGGGCCTCCCCCATGATGGTGGGGACCCAGCTACCTTGAGTCATCACCTGCTACCTCCCAGGGGGCTCACTAGCAGGAAGCTGGAATAAAGGGGTGGAGCCAGGACCTAAATCCAGGTGCCAATCAGGATGTGGGTGTCCCGGGTGGTGTCTTAACCCTGCTGGGTCTTGCTGGGGATGCTATCCACAGAAGGATGCCCCCACTCCAGGCAGTCCTCCAGGGCAGCTGTCAGAAAAGGAGCAGGCCCGGCCCCTCCTGCTCTCTGGGTTCACTGGTTGGAGAGGGTGGCCCATTCTGCATGTGCAAGGTGTGACACAGCGGAGGTCCCCCTGCCCCCCGCTACAGCTAGAACTGTGCTGCTTCAGTGTTTAGCCTGCAAACCCATGAACTAAATTAACCTTTCCTCTCTCTTAAGTCAGCTGTCCCAGGAATGTGGTTTTGGGAATGAAAATCGGACAGTAACACAGTGTGTTTGAGAAGCATGTTGGAGTCAGGGTGGCAAAATTTTCATGGGTAAAGGAAGGGACAGGGCAATGGGAGAGAGGAGATGGACGAGTTTGTGGAGGGCTTGGGATGAGGAGGGGCTGGAATGGACCCAAGGGGTGCCTACCATGTCCAGAGAGAAACAGTGGTGGCTCTGGCAATAGGAAGGTGGCCAAGTTCAGGATATTTGAGTGAAAAGGACATTCTAGAAGGAACTTCTGCAACTCTTTTTCTTAATGAAGTGAAAGCCCAGAATTGGGCAGAGGCTTGTCCAGGGCTCCCCATGAATGTTGGCCAGGAGGGAATGGCTTACGTCTCAGCCCCGGATCAGACTCCCATGCATTTCACCAGACCACAAGGGCTAGATACTGGATTCCTAGCCACAATCTGAGCCTGTGAAACAAGGCCTGGGGGCCGGGGCCAGGAAGCCCTACTTGTAAGGTCAGAAGAATGTAGAAGGGACCTTAGCAAAGTTGCCGAAGTGGAGGCAGTGGTCTCAGAGAAGACTCCTCACCTCCTATTGCACAATTCCATGTTGTGGGCAAGGGCAGGCAAGGGTAACCCTGGTGGTCCCAACTCAGGCATCTGTCCCTGCCACTAGGACATGCTGGAAGTCTGCCTGGCCCTGACACCATGGGGGGTGGGTGGCAGCTAGGAGCACTGGGAATGTAGGAGCCCTGCAAAGCTATGTGCCATATGTTCTAGATGCCATGCACACAGAAGCCTTGGTAACCTCAGGCCAGCCACTAGCCTTGTGAATGAGCATCAGGCTAGGGCCAGATAGTTCTGCAGCCTTCAGCATGAGAGGCTGCTCTGCTTGGAGCCGGGTAGCTCAGAAAGGTCGGCGGAAGGCCCCAGGCATCTCCATCTGCCAATTCCCACCTGTCCCGGGAGTAGCAAGCACCCTCACTTGCAAGCTGCATCCCACCCATCAGAGAGCCCTGCTTCCGCCTAAGTAGGAGCATAACAGCTTCCTCAGGCTTGAGCTCCCAGGAAGTCAGGACCCATCAAACTGCTCCAACCCCTCCATCATACCTGTAGTGTAAACTGAGGCCCAGAGAAGACAGGGTCTCCAGCAAGATCAAGAGCCAGGCCCCTCTGGTGGGTGGGATAGGCAGACAGCCCCTCCCTAGTGTCAGGCAGCGGGATCTCAGCACACCCATCCATGCCTGTGCCTAGTGACCGCCTACTCACCGTGGCCGTCTGCTGCTGCGTGGCCTGGGCTGCAAAACGTGCCACATGGTTGACAATAGGGGAGAAGTTGGTGGGCCCATAGAAGCGAATGTGAGGCAGGCAGGCCGAGTATGCCTGGGCGATGCCATCCACGCCTACTCAGAATCAGGAAGAGAATCCAGATCAGCCCAGACCCCTAAACCATGACCATGTCCTTTGCCCCTGCTGAAGCACCTCCTTCAGGCTCAACCAAAATATTCCTGCATGGTCAGCTGGGGCCCACGTTTTAAAGCCAAAGGTCCTGAAGGTGGATCCAGACAGACCCAAGTTTGAATCCTGTGTATGCCACATCTTAGCCATGGAGTCTGGGGCGACGTCCTTGTTGGTCAGTAGCTTATGGCTCATACACTGGGTTAGCAGACAAAGGCCTTGCCTGGCAAAGGGGCTTGCAAAGCTGGCAGTGACTGGGAAGCCAGCCAGGGAATTGCCTTCTGCACACACGATAGGCTGAGGGGCTGCAGATGCTCACATAACCCCTGCAGTCCAGTAAATGATTACTGTTCTGAACCCACAAATATCCCACCATTGGAAATGCCGGAGAGGCTGCCTAACTGGATCTGGGGTGAAATGTCCCCGGAGAGTCATCCCACACCAGCCAGCCTCTGCAGGAATACAGGACTATGACTGCAGCAGATATGGCCAGCTCAAGCTTTCCAAGTCACAGATGGGCCTTAGCTTGGGGCATGGCTGGGGAGACACCCAGCGCAGGCAGGTGCTCTGCCCACCCAAGCCAAGCCCTAGGTGGCAAGGTCTCCTGTTATAGGGACCATCCCCACCTCCCTTCCATTCCTAGGTCCCCTCTGTCCTCCTCCATGTTTCTCAACTGGGAGGTTCTGGAATTCTCTTAGGCCTGGGATGGGGTGAGCATGACACAGACACCACACTCCCCAGCCTCTACCTTGCCTGCTGCCTCACCGTGAAACCCTAATTCTTGGCTGGAGAGCAGGGCCAACACTCTGAGGCAGGCAGGGAGGCGAGAGCATAGGAGAGGAGAGCAGATGTGACCGGGTGCCACCTCACTTGCAGGCTCATGCAGGGTGTCCTGTCCTTGTCACCTGACTGCCTGGGGTGTACAGTGGTGGGGAGTCAGGGGAGACAGAGCTAAGCAAGTCTCACTCCTGTCTGGGTAAGGTGAGGAGGCAAAGATCCAGGGAGGGGCAGAGATCTCTCCAAGACCCCACAGCCAGGAAAGAGCAAGATGCTGTCCTCAAACTAGGTACTGCCTGACTCCAAACTCCAGCTTGTTTCCATCTGTCATGCCGAGCAAGCATGCTGGGGAGGGAGAAAGGGGCAAGAGCCTATTCCCTGGGTCCTTCCTCTTCCCAGGCCTGGGGCAGGTGCAGGAGGATGGTAGGCAAACACTCACCTGAACAGAAGGGGTTGGTAGGGTTGAAGTTGATGGCAAACTCATGGGAGACCTGAAATGCAGAGACAATGCTGGTCTGGAAGCCTCCACCTGGTGCCGGACTGAGTTCTGAACCCCCACCCGGGGGTTCAGGGCACATCAAGCTTGCCTATATCTCCCCTCCCCTCTGCCACACCCCAGTCTCTTCTGCCTGTGACCCCTGCCCCGCCAAGAGTTCCTGAGGGAGCCAGCGGGTGCCAAGAAACACTGCTGTCAGCCACTGCATGCTGGAACACCATGAGGGGGCCTCCGATGCTTTCCCCACATAAACAGGCAGCTGGGAAGCAAGGCCACCCTTTACCCCACCCAGGGACTGAGGCTACTTCTCTGCTGCCAGCCTCGGTGCTAGTGCCAACACCCCTAATCCCCCCCACCCCCACGCTGGCTGGCTCAAGCAGAGAGCAACCTGGCCCAGCCAAGAACCAATCCCTGTGCTAGCCCAAGGCACTGGGTGGGCCATGTCCCAAGTTCTGTCTGTCAACAGCTACTGTGTACTTGGCCCTGTGGCCCCAGGGGAGAAGCAAGCCCAGCCACTCCCCCACAGCACCACCAAGAGACTGCAGGCAAATGACAGGGCCCCAACAGGGAGGAAAGCCTTGCCAACCCTCCCTCCTTCCCCCTCCCCACCCCTGGATTGGGTGTGCTCGGAGAAGGCCTCCCAGAGAGCACATAAGAATGCTAGGAGGCCATCAGGAGCCAGCAATAGGCTGGGTTAATGGCCAAGCGCAAAGGCCCTGAGGTGGCAATGAGCAGAAAGGTGTCCATAGCAGGGGCATGTCAAGAAAGAGGGGGAAGCACCAGGAGGGGCCAAGCCTGGCCAGCTCCCACAGCAGGGGCAGGCCCAGTGCAACATGCCTTTTCGCAGTCGGCTTCCTGTGTCCATTCTGGCCTGGCCCAGCCTCACTCTCCTGAATTACCCTGCGACATCTCCAAGGAGGCTGTCGCTGGAGAAAACATCTCATTCAGCCTGAGTTCTTTGAAAGCTGCCTGGTGTCCTAGCAACAGGCTCGTGCTGGGCCTGACTGCCCTGGCTCACCCCGCCCCCACCCTCCAGGCAGCATTCCTGTGCCAGCCCTGGAATGCCCCCCCTGGCTTGGGTCCTCTAGGATCCAGCTTCACACCTTATGGGGTCAGGATGCCCACCTCTCCTGCCCCAGTGCCTCAGTTCCTCCCTCATGTTCTAGATGACCACTGTCCTCCCCAGAGAGGACCAGAAAGGATGGGTGACTGAAGCTAATTCTGTGTGTGTGGCCCAGCAGGGCAGATGAGAGGAGCCTTGGCTGAGCCAGAGGTGCCAGGTCCTCGGTGCTCATGTTCCACAGGCTGCCCGCTGGGGAGATGACAAATTGCAGGAATAAGTGTGAGATCCCATCTCTTCCAGTTGGAAGACAGGACCCTAGTGGTGAACATGACCTCAGGCAAGTCACCTTGAGACTCTGAGCTCATTGCTTTTTATCTGTAAAATGGAGCCTGCAACTGTGTGGCCTGAGATCTCTCGAAGTTCTTCCTCTCTGGGACATCAAGTTAGGCCTATCCTCACCTCCTGCTAGTGGCTACCCTCTATTCCACCGCCCTACCCCAGGGCAGCCCCCTCCCAGCTTCTCCCCAAATCTCTGACCTGCCCGCCTTCTCTACTGCCAAGCCCTCACATGGGCTGTTCCCTGCCACAACATTTACCATGCCTAGCCACTCTTACAAATTCCTGCTTGTCCTTCCCCTTTGGGCTTGCACCGAGCCTCCTCTGGGAAGCCTTCCCTGATTCCCCCAGTCTGAGTTGGGGCTCCCTCCTCTGGGTTTGTCCTCAGGCCCATACAGCCCCCATTTCCAGCTTGAGCACTGCAGGCCAGCCAACATGATGTCCAGTTCAACATGAGCTTCAGATACACCAGTTAGTTTGTAGTATATGAGTGTCCTATGCAACATTTAGGGCACACTGAAAAGTGGCTTTTATGTGAAATTCATGGAGGTGTTCTGTATTTTTGTTGGCTGAATCTGGCAACCCTGTCATCTGGCCCACTTGGCGCAGGTTTCAAGGTGCTGGCCCCTTGGATGGCCCCTGCAGCTGCAAGAGATTTGAGCTAGAGATACTGAGTGTAGTTGGGGCCGAGCACAGGCACAGGGTCCCCACCCAAGACTTCTGCCAAGCAAAAACCTTGGCACAAGCCCCACCTCAGCCCCACATAGGAATTCACTCACCTTCCAGTCTGGGGGCAGCTGGGCCCCAAATCCTAGCGCCGGAAACATCTTGTCGCTGGGCAGAGATAGATGAGAAAACTCTGGTGACTCCCTAGAGACCTCTCCTCATCCACGTCCACCCCTCCAGGCCCTGACCCAGGACAGTAAAAAAACTCACCACCCCCAGGAAATGCTGGTTCTGTAGTCTTTCCCCTAAGCCTACACCCGCCTCTGACCGTCAGGTGTCCTGAGCGATCTGAGGGCTCAACACCCAGGGCTGACATGACTAATCAACAGTACTGCCAACTAATTAGTCCAGCTGCTGCTTCTAGATCCTTCTTGATGGAAGTGGAATTACTGTTTCGCAACCTGTCGTCTATAGCTCTGAGGAGCCTGATTTGGCATTCAAGGTCCTGTGTCATGTGGCTGGAGAATCTTGTCCCTCCTCACACTTACTGTCCTTATCCCCCCGACACTCTGATTAGGTTTTCCCATACACACAGGGAACTTTTGTACGCCAGGGTTAAATCTGCTGTGCCCCTACCTTTAATATCTCTCCCCAATCTGTTCCTTGAAGCAAACTCCTATTCATCCTCCAAGTTCCCATCAAAAGTCCCAACTGCTCCCACAATGCCCTTAGCTTTTGTTTCACGTGTAAATGGACCTCCCAGAATGCCAATTTTTTTTCTTTCCCGTCTTCCTTTTTAAATAAGACCTCCAGGAAGGAATTCAGTCTGTCTGTTTTAAGATGCCTCTGGCTGCTGGGGAGCCAGGAGATGCAGGGAAACCAGGAAGGAAGTTAACGGATACCATATGGGATGGGAGGTAATGGTGGCTCAAAGCAGATGTCCAGTGCTCATGGGCCTGGCCAAGGCCAAGTGCCCGTTAGTGAGCTCGGTGAAGGGGCTGAGTGAGCCACGGGACATGGGGTCTCTGGAGTGCACCAAGGATGCCACTCCAACCTGCCCATGCAGACAGGACTCCCAACTTCCCTGCTCGGCAGACCATACTTCTGTGGCCAGGGGTTGTGGAGCTCCTGGTCCTCACACTGCCTCACTCCAGGGTACTAGGCAGACCCAGGGGTCCTGAGCTTGCCTGATCTCTCTGGACTTGTCCCCCATTTTGCTCCCAGTGTGCTTACCTCCTGGTCACTCCACTCTCTGGCCTGGAGCCCTCAGCCAGCACCATCTGTGATAGCCACACCTGCCTAAGCTCTATACCACTTTCCTATATGGACTTTCCACTGGACCCTGGCCCACAGGTCCTTGGGAGCACAGCTAAGCAAACAGGCCGCATACTTGCTGGTGGAGCCTCAGATTGTCAGGCCATGAGGTGCTGGCCCTGATCTGAGTACCTCTGGACAAAACCTCTACCCCGACCCCAGGCCTTCATTTCTCCAGCTCTAAAAGGAGAGGCTATAGCAATAGTGAGGGGGTTGTCATCTGACCTGACTCACTTTTACTGGCTACACTTGGTATACTGCATGGAAAATGATCCCAACTTGAATCTGGTGTTATAATCTGGCAATTGATTAGCCATGTCTGCCACTGGCATAGGAAGGGGTACTAACAGTGTGTATGTGCTGGACCCATTCATCAGGGTCCCTTCCAGCTGCAACAAACAGCTTCCTGGTATACATGGAGCCCTGGCTGAACCCAGCTTACCTGTCATAGTCCTGGATGATCTGCCCGACAGCCCAGATGGCTGACAGATACTCATTAGTGCCCATGGGGTTGATGTAGTGCAAAGAAGAAGGATCGAGGGGATTTCCGTTGGAAGCTGTGAAGTCTATTCCGACCTGTAAGTGGGATGAAAGGCCAGTGTGTGTGCCACTGGCTCCCCTATGCTGCCCCCAGGGACTCGGAGAATCTGATGGGACACAGGAAACTCAGTGTTTAGAGGTAGTGGTCTGACACCCAGAATCTCATCTGTTATAGTGCCTGGTGCAAGCTCCTGGCAAGGTCCTCCAGTCCACAGAAGGATTTAGGGGCAGGGAGAGATATGGCTGGGCAGTGTGGAGTGATGGGCAGAGTATGACAGCAGCAGACTCCACCCCCTGGCCTGGGACCACTGGCCTAAGAGCCAAAACCTGAGATGAGTGGCACAGTCTGTGGGCTGTGGTCCCACACATGATCATTTGTTGAGCATCTAATTACCCAGCACCTGATATCCAGGCAGGAACTATGCCACAAGCTGAGGTTGGAGCAGAAGCAAAAGGAACACATTTCCCAGACATGACACAGTCTGCACAAGGAATGAGAGCAAATGGGACAAGCTGGGGAAGCCTCAAGATACCTGGACAGAGGGGAGGGTGAAGAAAGGGGGACCCAGGACTGGGGAGGATCGGGGGAGGCTTTCCAGGAGAGAGAGCAGAGGGAATAACACATGCACAGCCCTAAGATGGAGCAGAGGTGGACATGAGGGACGAGCAGGCAGGAGCAGTGTGGTTGGTGCCTCATGAGCCAGGAGGAAGGTGGTAGCAGGTCAGGCAGGCGAGAGCCTTGATGGAAGTCCTGGTGGCCAGCAGAGAGGAGGTGGCTTTTTCTCCAAGAAGGGATGCAGCTGTTGGCTGGCCACACTGGGAACTCAAGCCCACCCGGCAAGACCACACGACTTGAACCAGCCAGGCACATCCCTTGTGCCAGGAAAGTCCTTTGGGAAATGCATCCCAAGTCCTTCCTGCTGCAGCTTGCAGGGGTAGCAGGGACAGGCTTACAGTGAACATGAGCTGGCAGCCGCCCAGGATGTAGTCCAGGAAGGAGTAGTCCCGGTGTATCTGGAAGGCAGAGGGGAGGCGGTGGGGGTCGGGGATTTGGCCACACTGGTCAGGGACACCCCGGGGGAGTTGGTTCTCTATTGTTGGAGTCTCTACAGGGACAATGAAGCCAAGGAAAATGCACAGGTCTGACCTTCTCAATTTCTCTACAGCAAAGCCCCTCAGAACATCGGCTCCGAAAGGATGAGAGACATGTGACACACACTGATGTGTCATGATGTCCCCCAGGCCCCAGGGGTTGGGGTGATTACTCCTAGCAATTACACCACGGAGAAAGCCTCAATTTGCTGCCAGTGGGACTTGCCTCGCCGTGGCCCTCACTAACCTCCGTTTGAACAAGGAGAGAACAGGCCACGTGGCCAAGTCCGCCTCTCTGAATTCATCATGCTGGCCTACCAGGCTCAGCTTGCTGGGACCCTGGCTGCCTCTTGCTGGCCAAGAATGCTGGTTTTGCCATTTTAGGGGAGTTTAGAAGTGTTCCTTTCCAACTAGATGTGTTTTAGTTCATTTGAATTCATTAATTTTCAAGGCTGGTTAAAAAATAATAATAAGGCAAGTGCCAAAAACCATGACAAAAAAGATGTGAATGGTGAAAACTGCAGAAGCAAGAACTTGGGGTCTGTGTTGTGGCTCAGTGGAGTAAGATGCCATCTGCAATGCTGGTATCCTGTATGGGTGCCAATCTGAATCCTAGTTGCTCTGCTTCTGATCCAGTTCCCTGCCAATGCTCCTGGGAAAGCAGCAGATGATTAAAATGCTTGGGCCCCTGCACCCACGTGGGAGATAGAGTTGATCACCTGGCTTCTGCCTGGCCCAGCCCTGGCCATTTTGGTCATCTTGGGAGTGAACCAGTAGAAGGAAGATCTCTCTCTCCTTCCTTCTCTTCAACTCTTATCTTTCAAGGAAATAAAATATATTTTTAAAAGAACCTAATCTCTGATTCTGAACCGTTTAAAACTTTAAGAAAAAAGATTTAATCTTTATTTGAAAGGCAGATTTACAGAGAAAAGGAGAGAGAGCTCTTTCATTTGCTTGTTCATGCCCCAAATGGCAACATGGGCAAAGCTGAGGTAGTCTGCAGCCGAGAGCCAGGAGCTTCCTCTGGGTTACCCATGTGGGTGCAGAGACCCAAGGACTTCAGCCCTCCTCTGCTGCTTTCCCAAACTGTTGATAGGGAACTGAATGAGAAATGGAACAGCTGGGACATGAATCTGTGTCTTTATGGGATGCTAGCACCTTCACCAGGGCAGAGGTTTAGCCTACTATGCCATGGCGCAAGCCCCCCAAATTTTTCTATTTCTTTCTCTGAGAAGCAGAGAGAGAGGGAGTGACCATCCATGGTCTCGTCCATTCACTCCACGAATGTCTGGGACTAGGACTCAGTCAGGGCAAAGCAGGAGTCCTGAGCCTTACAAGGGTCCCCCACATGTATGGCAGGGACCCAATAACTAGAGCTACCGCCTGATGACTGCTAGACTGTGCCACTGTGGGAACCTGCAGTCAAGAGCTGGCACCAGAACCCAAGTTCTGTGCTGTGAAAGGCAGGCCTCCTAGCCAGCATTCATACTGCTGGGCCGAGTGCTCCCAAGGGCTCTGCCTGTTGCCTTGCGACCCCACTGACACCTCACAGAAACTCTATCCTGTACCTGCTCACTGGCAGGCAGCAGTGTCCACACACCACTGGCCAGCCCTGGAAGCCCAGCTCTTACAGTCCCATCCATGCTGTTCCCCGGCTTCATATCCTATCCCATCTGGCAGCCATCTGGCCAGTGGACATACCGGCCCCTTCCCCACTGGCCACTGCTATCCTACAAGCATCACAGTCACCTAATGCTTCAACTCGGAGGACAGAGCACCCTGCCTAAGCGCCTCTACCCCTGCGGTGCTCTGAACGAGTTCCAGAATGCTTCATACACACAGCAGCTGCCTTCTGTCACCTTCCAACCAGGAGAGGACTGAGAAGGTTGTTTCCTGCTCTGGGGGCCTCCAGGAAAGAGTGTGATATGAGACCCTCATGAACACTCTACTCTGTAGATGGTGAAACCTGGTGAGCTAAAACCCAGGCCACAGAGCCAGGACCTGGCAGAGCCAGCCCTCACTGGCTGCCAGACTGGGGCCCCGAACCTGGCTCGTAGCTCCCACGCAGCCCCGCACGACACACCTTGCAGGAGCACAGGATGATGACACCTGAATTTTTGTAGTTCTTTTTCTTCTTCTGCTTCTTAGGGTTGATGCACTCGAACTCCAGCTGGGCGACACAGATGGGGAAGGAGCTCAGCTCGGGGCTTCCTCAGGCATGGCACCTCTCCCACACCCTGGAATTCCCTTCATAGGCTTGGCAAGGGGGCAGCATGCCTCTTCCAGGGTGTCTCCATGGATGTCCATACCCAAAAATGCCTCCATGGCAGGTCTGGCTGAGGGCCTGGGAGCCAGAGAGCTCCTGATTGCTGACTGTGGGCTCAGCATTGCCTGCAGCATCCCCCTTAGTGCCCACCCCAGCTGACAGATTGGAGAAGCTGCATCTTAGAGGGTCATGCTCAATGTCATGCAAGCAGAAGACATGAGTGGGAGCTGCACCTGCTGCCTTCAGAGCCCTGCACCCCTTCCCCGCTGATGCCTCAGGGGTCATCTCACCGGGATGCCATCTCGAGCCTTGCACATCTGTGACACGGAGGTCTGGAACTCGCCAATGAAGTCATGGCCCCCATCGTTGTCATAATCATAGCATGTGACCTGCAGCGAGTCCAGTCCAGTGCCGTCACCCCAGAGCTGGCCCCCAGGCAGTGATCTCTAACCCCCCAGCTTCCTGGGTAGACTCCCCGACTAGGTGGTCCATGTGGGTGGTGCCTGCCATCAGTATTCTGGCCTCAGGGGATCTTGAACTGCCTCCTGCAGAAAGCCTTCCGTGATTGCCAGGGCCAGGACAAAGTATGTTTGCTCCAGAAATAGAAGTTGTATCCTCAGAGCAGGAAACATAATACCATATACACACCTGTCTCAGGCTGGGACCCATGGCCTGGGAGGCCATGGCCTTGAGTCCATTCTAGACTCTTTCTTCTCCCTTCCTTTCTTCCTCCCTCCCTTCCTCCTTTCCTCTTTCCTCTCTTCCTTCATTCCTTCTTTCCGATTTCCTGGCCAGCAGCCCTGCAGCCCTCTTATACCATACAGTGCTGGGTCTCCAGCCCTATCCCACGTTGCTCCCTTGCCCAGCCACCTTCAGGGAACCTGACTGGACTGGTGGGCGCAATTGGTACACTGGGGAAAAGGCCCTCACCTGGATGGGCTTCTCCATGTCCCCCTCACACAGGGACACCAGTGGCACAGTGAAGGGCTTCCACACAGGGTCCAACGTGTACTTGATCACCTGCAGGAACAGTGAGGGCCATGCTGAGTTGGGCCAGGGGTGGCAGCGCTCTGTAGCCAGAGCAGCCCCGGAGGGGAGAGGTTGACAAGGCAGAGAGCATCCCTGTAGTCTTGTATGTGCCCTTGGGGGTCCTCCAGGGACTGCACAGCCCCAATGCTGAGCTGCTAGGGGTGGGAGATGGGGACACCGAGACCTGAGGTCTCCAGGCACCCACCTCTGTCCTGTGTACCAGCATCCACTTGCCATCGTCTCCAGGCTTGTAGAACTCCAGGAAAGGGTCTGACTTCCCAAAGAGGTCCTGGGGGGAGCAGAAGGATGGATGGGAACACAATACCAGATTTAGGGGGATGGGGGAGGACCCAGCTGCTTCCCCAACCCAGAGTCCAGGTAGGCAACATAGACAGAGCCAGCCTGCTCCCTCTCCCCTCTGCCTATGTGAGGCCTGGCCAGAGCTTGGGACAACAGCTCAGCCCCTGCAACCAACCTAATCCCCCATACCCAGGGGGATCCCCTCTACTTCCTGGAGTTGCTCGAACTTGGGCTGTGGGTCCCTGGGACCTAGCACTTGTGGGAGTCAGCAAGTAGCAGCTTGGGCAGGGGCAGGCTTCCCAGGGAATCTAAAAAGCAGAAATAATCCTGGCCACCCATGGAGGAAAAGTAGCGATACCCTTTAAGATCCACTTGTTTAAGTTACAAAATGTTCTAAAGAGGGTATGTTGGGGTGGGGAAGACAGAGAGTAAGCTACTGTATTTTGGATGGTAAGAAAACTTAAGGAGACAAATTGAGCAGTGGAGGTTTGGAAAAATCAAAGAATTGTAGTTGAGGAAGGCCTCATGGAGGAAGTGACACAGCATTAAAGGCTGATAGAGGTGAACGACACTATGACAACATTCAGGGAAGACAGCGTCTCAGCAGAGGGCATGGCAGGTGCAGAGGCCCTGAGGCAGCAGGGTCCTGATGAATCCTGACGGGGAAGGGATAGCAGAAGGGGCAGGCCAAGGAGCCAGACCGCTGAGGGTGCCTCTGACAGGGCCTGCGGGGACCAGAAGGGCCCTGGGACTTGTGCTAAGGAACATAGGGTGCTCCAATGAATGAGTTCTCAGCTGTATTCTGAATACCTCTTTAAAAGAAAAAAAAAATTGTGGTAGCCTAATGGCTAAAGTCCTAGCCCTGCAAGCACCAGGATCCCATATGGACACTGGTTCATGTCCCAGCTGCTACACTTCCCATCCAGCTTCTTGCTTGTGGCCTGGGAAAGCCAGAAGAGGATGGTCCAAAGCCTTGGGATCCTGTACCCACATGGTAGACCTGGAAGAAGCTCCAGGCTCCTGGCTTCAGGTCACCTCAGTTCTGGCCATTACAGCCACTTGGGGGGTGAACCAGAGGACAGAAGATCTTTCTCTCTGTCTCTTCTCTCTGTAAATCTGCCTTTCCAACAAAAAGAAATATATCTTAATTTTTGTTTCAAATTGCTTATTTGAAAGGCAGAGAAACAGGGACAGAAATCGCTCAGCTGCTGGCTCACTTTCCAAATGCCTGCAACAGCTGGGGTGGGGCCAGGCCAAAGCCAGGATCCTGGGGCTCCATCCACAATGGGTGGCAGAGCCCCACAGTGGCAGAGTTCCCACAGTGGTAACAGCATCCTAATGTGCAGTGACCAGTGAACTCCAGCACTGGGCCACCCCCTCCTGGGGCTTGGGGAGAGGGTGGGGCACCTGTGGAAAAACTCCTTCCTGTGCCTGCCTTACCTTCTTGTCCAGCTTCCTGCCTGCCAGACTCAGCGTGATGACCCGGTTATCTGACAGCTCCTGGGCAGCGATCTGTAATGCCAGAGAGCTGTGAGGGCAGAGGACCCAACTCGGAGCTACCACCAAACTTCCTTGTCAGGCAAGACAAACCCAACGAACCCAGCAGTCCACTGACAAGTCTCCTGTCTGCACCAGATCTAAGCTTGTACCTCCTGGAAAATGCACATGAGGCATGAGAAAGCAATTCCACACACCCCACAGAGGGGACAGTGTCTGGGCCAGGGACTAGCAGGACAAGCCCCGTCCCTGACTGCAGACACAGGAGCACAGCCAGCTGTAAACACTGAGGGGTCAATGACCATAGCCACTGTACTGTGCAGGTGGGGAAATTGAGGCCCAGGGAAGGATGCTGGGGAGCCATCCAAGCTCCCCCATCATACCACATTGGCCATCTGTCCTTCACACAGGCCTGTTAGTCATGATCCTCTGACCCCAGCCCAGCCAGGGCTGGTCTAGCCGAGTAGCCTGGAAGCTACCAAGAGCCCTCGCTGAACCTCTCCTTTTCTGCTTCCCTGCAGAGAGGTAGGCAGCTGCATCCACTCTCAGCCGGGGCTGTGGTCATTCCCGTGCCCCTGGGATGGCTGCCCTTGCCAGTCCAGTGGGACTGCCTGCTGCCTCCTTGCTGAGCTCAGCTCCATTGCTGCAGGCAGGATCCGACCAGCAATGCAGAGGGTGGAGCTCTGTGCAGCTGCTGCCCCTCCCCTATCCCCACTCTCAGGTTGAGCCAGGTGAAGGGAAGTGGCTTGTAAAGGCATGTAGACTGGGGGTGGTAGTGGCAGCAAAAGCACGGATTAGGGTCTGGGGGAGTTTCCTATGGATTCAGTTGGCCTTGAACCAAGGTATTTACATGAAGGGGAGCAAAACAACTGAAGTAGGAAAGTAAGACTGGCGGGCCATTCACAGCTCTAGAAGGTTTTACAGGCAGTGGGGACGCATGCCAAGTTCCAGAGCAGCAGAGTGAGGGACTCAGGACCCCAAAGAGGATGGTGTTGCCTGGCCAGTGTAGTCAGCACCCCGGCGAGCACCCAGGCTTGGAGGCCAGCAATGCAACCCATCTCATGGCTCACCTGCCCTTGGGAGCATCCCTCAGGGCCCCAGACTGCCCTCATCTGTGAAATGGGTTCACTCTGGGTACTAGGAACCTGGAGCACCAGAGCCAGGATGGGACAAGACCCTTGAAGCCTACAGAAAGTACTGTGCATCCAAGGCCCCAGCAGGGAGACCGAGAGCAAGGTGCTTCTGAAGGACCCTTAGCAAGGGTAGACTGGTGGGCGCCAGGGAGCAGGTGCGGGGGGCTGGTCTGGAGGTCTCAGGCAAGATCCAGAGCATCTTTGCAGTATAGGAATTGTCATAGGGGCCCTGTGAGAGTCTTCCCTTCCACTCCCCACCAGCCTGGCAGCCCCCAATGCAACATTTGTGGAGCCCAGGAGCCGTTGCTAAGAGACCTGTTGCTAAGTTGTAAGTTGGGCCTTTTTACTCCAAACAAAGCTGGTGATTATGTGCCAGGGAAGCAGCCCATTGATGGGGGAGGGCGGCGGGCAGGGAGGGGGCTGGTACCGTGATCAGGCCCTTCCCTGCCGGCTTGTCATTCATCAGCAGCAGAGGCCGAGTGATCTTCTTGCTGGAGACGATCTGCAGGAAGAGAGAGGTGCTTGTTGAGAAGGGAGGAGGGTACAGATCTCCAACAGGCATCACTGGCAGTGCTGCCTCCCAGTAGGGCCACTGAATGAAACCTCCACCTGCAGAGGAAGCTGCCGCAGCTACTCCTAGCCCAACTGAGTAGCTGAGAAATGAGTCCTGGATGGGAGACAGGGTGGAGAGGCAGGACCATAGAGGTCAAGATGCTGACTGCCCTGGGTCCCAGCCCTGTGTAATTCCAGGCTATGGGCAAGGGCCAGAGGTGCAGCTCCTACCTCCTGATGCAGCATTGGGCTGCCTTCCCTCCAGATACATTCAGGGGGATATATCTGCATAGACTCAGCCATCAAAGCCACAGGGAAAGGAAAAGAACACCCCCAAAAGGCCTCCCTGTGGCCTACATCCTCTGTAGTCCTACCCCCTTCCCAGTCCACTGTAGTGGGGACCATCATTCCCCAATGATGTTCCTACAGGTGCTTGCTCTATCCCACCGGGGCCACCTGGTCCTGTGTCCGGGGCTGCCTCTGCCCTTCCCACCTGTTCTCTGTCACCTGTTCCCCCATCTCTGGCCTTCCAGGGTTGAGCAGTATGGACATCAGCAGGAGCCAAGATAACAGAGCGACAGGGGATAGGGTCACTGAGTGCTGGATGCTGTGGTCTTGCTCCTGTCCAGACCCTGCCCCCTTACCACACTGCACCTGCCTCCTGGGCTATGGCCCTGGCCAGGCACCAGTAACACCCCTGGCCGGCTTCACCTTCTCCACAGGCTCTCGCTGGGGAGGACACTAGCACTGCTTCCCCCAACCATTGCCCAGTCCTTAAGCCACGCCCCCACTCTTTCAGGGTGTAGACCCAATGGCCACACCCCACTTCCTGCACAAAGGGGCTCTCCTAATTGTACCAGGAAGTCTAAACTTGTAACATTCCTAAGTTTGACCACACCGGGCCCTGTTCCTATGTGGTGGCAACTGTCTGGCCCTGCAGTTTCCTACTCCTGCAGACGGGAGCTCTTCAGCTTGGCACCACGCCCATCAGCCTACTTTGCCTCTCTGGTGCCTGCTAGCCTCGGAGAGCCATCTGCATGTGCACCTGGGGAGCTGTCCAGGAATGTGGGGCCAGGTGAGGCAGGTGGAGAGAGACTTTGCCAGGGATGACCTTAGAGATCGAGGGACATCTGAGGGACTGCCCAGTTTCTGGGGGGACCTGGCTCACCGTGCCCAGGCTACAGGAGAACTGGCCCAGGAAGTCATGCTCATCAAGCTGCATGCTGGACTTGTCTTGATCGAACAGGGCGAACTTGAGCTTCTGCACCTCCTCAAAGTGGTAGTCGAGGACGAACTTCTTGGAGAAGGCAGGGCTAAGGTTGTTGATGGCCGTTTCTGTTCGGTCGTACTGGCAGAGGGCAGGGGGATGGGACACAGTCAGAGCAGCTGGTTCCCCCTGCTGGGCCCCTGAGAATCATCATGCCAACCTGCTGAAAGCGGGCTGTGTGCCTGGCACTCATAGATCCTAACCCGAGGGGTAAAGCCATCATCACCTTCTTAACCCTTAGCTCACAGTGAGGATTCTAAAGCACAGAGAGTTTGAGTGCTTTACCCAAGATTGAACAGCTAAGTGGGCAGGACCAAGAATCAAACCCAGAGCTGATGCTAACATCTCAGGTGCCAGGGTGTGAGCTAGAGGTCCTGACATTGCCTGAGCAAGTGACAGAAGGAAGATCCTTTTCCCAGAGTCGGTGTTGTAGTGCGGTGGGTTAAGCTACTTGCTTTGTGATGCTGGCTCCCATGTCAGAGTGCCCGTTCCAGTCCTAGCTGCTCCACATCCGATCTAGCTCTGTGTAATGTGTTTAGGAAAGCAGCTGAAGATGGTCCAAGTACTGGGCCCCCGCTACACATATGGCAGATCTGGATGGAGTTCCTGGCTCCTGACTGTTGACTCAGCCTTAGCTGTTGTGGACATGTGGGAAGTGAACCGGCAGATGGAAGACCTCTCTCTGTTTCAAGCTGCCTTTAGCATACATTTAAAAAAAAAAATCTTTTATTTTCATCCTTTTACTTCACCCAAGCCTCAGCTGCCATTTCTGTAAACTGCAAATCTCTCTCTCTGTTTTTGTCCAGATTTTTAATTTTTTTTTTTTGGGAAAACTTTTTACCCCAATAATAGTTCAGATGGCAACTGATAGCGCAAACTGAGAAGTGGGGTCATGGGTATCCGGGAGTGGATACTTGTGTCTTTTCTATAAATTCCTGGAATGGTGCAGCTCACTCCCCACTTCCCTGCAGCGGATGCTGGCGCCTGGGAAGATGGGTCAGTGTGGTGCTGGGACAGGAGCCCCGCCTCCGGACCGCTGCTTGCTATTTCAGGGCCCAAGCTATGTTGATGTTTCCCTTCCAACCCACTTCACTTCCAAGGCTTTGAGCAACAGGGTGGAAGAGGTTGGGGCCCTGTGCTATTTTCAGCCAGGGTGGCTAGCCTTGGTGGGAGGGGGACCTTGAGTGGGGGCACCACGCCTGTGACGGAGGCACAGGCAATGCCTCACACATGCCCACATGGGTCAGGGGTCTGTTTGCTGCTTCCAGCTATGTTGCCAGCTCTCAGCTGACACAAGTCTCTATTGCCTCTGGGAAATGGGTCAACAACCCCAGTACAGTTCCCTGACATCACAGAACTGTGTCAACACCCATGGGACCTGCTAGCATCTATGTAGACCTGGGGCAGGGGCAGGTGTAGGTGCTGGCCTCATGGTGCTGATGCCTCTTGGAAAGTCCCCATCCCACACCAGACTGTCTGGGTTCAAGCACCGCATCTGCCTCTAATGCAGCTTCTGGTTAATGCACACATGGGAGGCGGCAGGTGTTGGCTCAGGCCCTTGGGTCCCTGCCACCCACATGAGAGACGTGGAATGAGCTCCTGGCTCCTGGCCTCAGCCCTGCTTAACCCCTGCCATGACGGGCTTCAGTTTAAGGAGTGAACCAGCAGAAGGCAGCTTTCTCTGTCTTTCTTGACCTCTCAAATAGAGATTTAATTTTTTTTTTCTTATTTTTTCTTTTTCTCTATTCATAAACTTAAAAAAAATAGAAATAAAAAGAAAGCTATTTAAAAGTGAAAGTGAGCATTTTTCCAAATTATCAAGTTTCAGCTATCTATAACAATAATGTAAAAATGATGAAATAAAAATAGAAAATAGATAATTATAAATGTATGGCTTATAATAACCTCAACACATATATAAATATATTTAAAATAAAATTTTCTTTTGCATTTTTTAAAATTTGTTTTATTTTTATTGGAAAGACAGATTTATTAGGACATACTTAAATAGCAGACCAATGGATATATGACTGCCTATGAAGGATTATAGTATTGTAATATCAGTCAGGGGTTGGGAATTTGGGGAGGAGGTAGGGACCTGTACAATTGTACCATAAAATTTTAAAAAATAATAATAAAATTAAAATTTAAAAAAGGTAGATTTAGAAAGAGAAGATACAGAGAGATTTTCCATCTGCTGGTTCAAGTCCCAAATGACCACAAGAGAAGAAGACACAAAGATGTTCCATCCACTGGTTCACTTCCCACATGGATGCAACAGCCACAGATGAGCTGATCTGAAAACAGGAGCCTCTTCTGGGTCTCCCATACGGGTGCAAGTTCCCAAGGATCTGAGCCATCCTCCACTGCTTCCCCAAGCCACAAGGGAGCTAGATAGAAAGCAGAATAGTCAGAACACGAACAGGTGCTCACCCGGGATGCTGGCGCCTGAAGGTGCAGGAGCCACAGTGCCAGCTCTCCATTTACTCTCAAGGGCGTGATCCGGATGTCCCTTCATGCAGGGGCATCCCGGTGACCCTTCCACTAGCCACTGGGTACACATGCACTGAAGAACTCACCTCGGTCCACCTGCCATCATTTTCCGTGAAGAGGACGCAGAAGGGGTCAGACTTGGAGGTAACGTCGCGGTCCAGCAGGTTCTGGCCGCTCACTGACAGCTCCACCTTGCACACGCAATACTGGGAGCCCACAGGGGCTGCCCCCACAGCTGGGGTACCCCCTTCAGGGATATAGGCCATGGGGGTGGGTGGTGGAGCTGGTGGCAGCAGTTCTTGGCAGTCTGGGGGAATCAAAGTGAGAGTTAGAGAGGAGATAGATATCTGCTATGGTAACACACACACACACACACATACACAGAGGCAGATCCTCACCTTCTGGATGTGGGTAGAAGGACAGAAGACAAAAGCAACAGAGAAAACAGAGAATTTAAGGAAATGTATGTATAGGCAGGCTCTGATAGATGTTTTCAGATGTCTTTACTTTGATCAATCTTGAGCTGGGAAATGTACGAAGGTCCCTATGTGTTGCCTCTGAGAGATCAGCAATAAATCACAGTGGACACAGGTGACCCAGACGTTCACCATGCCAGGAAAGCCTGGGCTTTTCCTAAAGGACTAACAGGCTGGCATTTTATAGGTACAATCTTACAGGTGCTGCATGATGTCTCTGGTTTCCCTCATTGCTTTGCTCATTAGGAAGCTCATTTCTGGGAACTTTTACAAAATTTGACCTTGCTCATTGTCTACCACTTTCTTGCAGTATTTCCAGCTCAAGCACGGTGATTGGGGTACAGAAGTCATTTGTATTTGTATTTGTTGAGTGAAAAAGAGAGTATTAATGAGCAACTAGACAAACTGCATATTACCCCAATTCTGCCCCAGTTGGTACTTGGCTTTGACACAAAATTTGCCTTTCACTTGGATACAACTTCCCCAAATCCCACATCCTGTCTCCCCTTCTCCTGTCACTGCTCACTGCTGGCGTTGCCCACTGGAAGGCCTTTTGTTTGCAGTCTCACTGGGAACCAGAGGAGGAATTGATTTTAAGGGATGGAGGAGAGCTCGGGGTCCCACTGGCACAAGCACAAATTCTTGGATGTTCTGTGCCTCAGTTTCCCATCTGCTCACCTTCTTGTTTCTGCCAGCATGTGGGCTTTTCACCCAGACCTCAATATTTATGTGGATGATTCCAGCCCCAAACACCCTACAAAGGCCAGCTTCTAACTCCTTGACTGAGATCTTGTCCCCTCAGGGTCAGCACCATGAGGTAGCCGGTTAAGTCTCTTCCTGCAGTGCATCCCTTATGAGAGGCCCAGCTGCTCCACTTCTGATCCAGCTCCCTGCTCATGTGTCTGGGAAAACAGCAGATGATGGCTCAAGTGCTCAGACCCCAGCACCCATGTGGGAGATTCGGACGAAACTCTAGGCTCCTTGCTTCAGCCTGGCACAGACCCAGCCATTGCGACCATTTGGGGAGTGAACCTCTCTTCCTGTGTGTGTGTGTGTGTGTGTGTGTGTGTGTGTGTGTGTGTGTATTTCTGCCTTTCAAATTAAGAAAAAAATCTTAAAAAAGAAAAGAAAGATTTTGTCCCCTGCTGCAGAGTAAGGCAGGAATAGGTCACTTGGGAACACGAGGATGGAGCCCACGGCCTTTATGATGCCAAGCTTCTTCATTCGGTCTCCAGGGAGCAGCACGGACACACACCCCTTTGCCATGGAGACAGCTGACATTCATCTACCAACTCACTCGGCAAGGCTGACGGAGCCTCTACTGGGTCCCTGAATGGTGCCAGTGCTGGGGACTAAGTAGTCCGAGACTGGCCATTCAAGTGTGCAAGCTGCAACCTGTAAGGCGCTGGACCCCAAGTCTGGGTTTCAGTCACAGAATGACAGGAAGTGTTGAAGGCACAGCAGTGACTGGATCTGGTCTGTGCTTTCCAAAGTTTTTCCAGCAGCTTCGGAGAGCTGGCTGGACCAGACCAAGGCCACGGTCAGCACCATGCTGGATCTATTCCTCCTCCTCCCTCTGACCTGAATGCAGCTCACTCTGTATGCACCAGACCCAGAGGGGGCCCCGGAGACACCCTCCCCAGATACAATGCTCCTGGGGTCTGCCTGCTGGGGTGGGGAAGGTGGTGGTGGTAGGGGTCAGCCCTCAGCCTCGTCCCTGCCACTGGCTGTCTCCAGAAGCTCATTAGAGTCACACACGCTCCAAGCCTCAGGACAGCACTGCAATTTGCCTGCAGGATGTATTCCTGTTTGGTAAAAGCCAGCCTCCACCCGGGGGGGTTGATGGGGGAGGGCTGGTGTGCCCCGTTTGCTCCCCCCATGTGCATTAGAGCGATTGTGCCAAGTGAGGGTGGGGCTGAGAGGGTTGGCCAGCCCAGACACCAGGCTGTGTGGCCATGTGTGTGCCTGTCTATGTTTATGTATGCCTGGGGTGGGAGGGATGGTAGGACAATCGCCCCCATTTTACAGGTGAGCAAACTGAGGCTGGAAGAGAGTGAAAGTCATGGGGCTAGGAAAGGGCAGAGGCAGCGTGTGGACTGGGCCTCCAGACCCCTGGCCCAGGCTTGGCTTTCTTGTTGGGGTAAGGGGGATCAGTGGGTTCTCTGAGGACCCAGGACCTAAGTGGGGACAACCCCAGGACATCAGGCAGGCTGGTGGGGACTGAAACCAGGTAGGCAGGGCTGTGCTAAGCGCTCCAGAGTGCCCAAGTCTCCCGTGCCCATGGAGTCAGTCCTTCCCACTCTCCCAGCATCCCCGGCTGCCACTGGGTCCAGCTCTCCACCTCCTCAGCCCTTTGTAGCCCCTCCACATGGTCACTGCGACCTGGGTACCACTTCTGGGCCAAGACAAATACTGTTACTGTTATCCTGACACAGAGGGTACATACGCCCAGCTCCACGTATTTCCCATGCAGACGTACACTTTCACATGTACCCAGACCACCCAATACAAAGGCTCGCGTTCATGTGGACATCCTTGGACCCGCTTCTTCCTGTCCCCAGCCCAAGCGTCCATCATCTGACCTGGGCTCCTCCACCAGCTTCCTATCCCACGTGCTCTCACTCTGGCTGAGGGTGCAGCCGGGCGGACACCCTGCCCCCCACCAGCCCACCCAGCTGCAATGAGGGGTGGACCTTACAGGGGAAGGCAGGTCCCCCATTCCCAACTCACCCTCTGCCAGGAAGCTGCGGGACCCCCGGAATGGGGAGCACATGGTGTCGGAAGCTGGCAGGGGTCAGGGCGGCCCCTCTGTGCCAGCCCGGCAGCGGGCAGGCGGGGCTGGACCCTGAGCCTGACGCAATGGAAAAAGAAACCACAGCCTAGGCCGCGCCAGGCCCCTTCCCCTCCTACCCCAGCAGGAGGGCGGCAGCACAAGGTGTCATTAAGGGTTGGGGCTGGGCCTGCCATGCGCATCTGGCCCAGCTGGGAAGCTCAGGAACAACCCCTGCCCCGCAGGTAATTTGAGGTTTGGGGCTGGAGCAGGAGATATGCAAGAGGGATGGTCCCTGATTCTCAGCACAGATGGGCACTGACCTTTTGGGGTGACCAGATCTCCTAGCAGAGACCTCTGAGGGTAAGATAACACAACTGGGAGTCTCTTGTATAGATAGGCTAACTGAGGGCAAGGGACGGTAGGCAGGCTTGGGGATTCACGCATTCATTCAGTAATCATTTTTCTAGCAGCCATGGCTGTGGCGCTGAAGGGGACATGGGATCCCAGCCATCTGGTCCCCAGGCACAACACCTCTGTGATGCCAGCAACTCAGGTGCTGGTGGCTCCGCACCAGCGCAGCTGGGCACACCTCCAAGCCACAGCCATGTCCTCATCCCCTGTCCCCTGCCCCGGCGGACTGTGACAGTCTCCCCAAGGCAACCTCAGTGGTCCTCTGCACACCAGACCCTGAGGACATCTTTCAACATGCAAATAAGGAGCTGGTGCTGTGGTGCAGACACACCTGTGATGCCAGTGACTCATGGGCACCAGTTCGAGTCCCAGCTGCTCCAGATCCACTCTAGCTCCCCGTTAATGTCTCTGGGAAGGCAACAGAGGATGCACCCATATGGAAGACCCGGATGGAGTTTCTGGTCCCAGCTCCAGCCGTTTTGGGCACAGCAGATGGAACACTTCTTCTGTCTTGTCTCTCCCCCTCTCTCCAACTCTGCCTCTTAAATAAATCTTCCTTCTTGTTCCCCAAAACACAAATAAGATGCTAGGACAGCTGTACCTGAAAACTTCCAGATCCTTCCATCTTAACAGGCCACACAAATGAACTGATCCTACCTCACGCCACACGCCCGGTGTCTGTAAACACTGCAATCTTTTTCCTGCCCTGAGATCTTTGCACTTGTGGAATTTCCCTTCACCAGAATTTCTTCACAAGAATGGCTTCGCTGCACCTTCCATCACCGCCTTACTACCTTGGAGGCCTTCCACACTGCGGGGCTAACCCATGGCCTTGGCTCCACAGATCATGCCAATGCACAGGTGTTTTGTCCGCAGTCTTGTCAGCAGGCCCAAATGTGGCTGCTTGTCCCCATAAAATGTAAGCTCTCCAAAGGAGACGTTGCATCCCACCCCTGACTCCACCTTCTCCCCCCCAACCCCTTGCCAGTGCTGGATATCTCTGTCCAGGATGAAAGAGGCAGACAGGGGACCAGCCAGGCAGCCAGCACTGACAGGAGATGCTGGCATCACCAGCGGTGGCTTAACTCATTGTGCCTCAATGTCAGCTCTAAGGCAGGGAGGGTGTTGTAAGTCACAGAAAGATGAGACCCTGAACCCGAGCCAATTCTATGACTCCACCCCCACCCCACCCAGCCCTGGTCCAGGATACAAAAGCTGGGCAGTTGTCACCACTTGCAGCTCACCGCAGGGAGGAGCTGCTGAGTTGCCAGGAGGACCCTAACTTAGAAGGCAGCAGGTGACACTGATGGGGAGTCAGCGAGAGAGGCAGGTGGCTGTGGGAGGACAGAGGATGGAGATGGAGAGCAGGTCCAAGGTGGCTGGAGAGGAGGCAGCTGCTGCACCAGTTGCCATGAGTTGGTGGAGACTGTGGGACTAGGTGACAATGATATACCCCACTGCAATGTCCAGTGCTCCAGGCCATACTTGGGATTTCTCTATCTGCAGTGCCAGCTACAGGGAGCAAAGCTCTGCCAGGTCTTGCTGGACTTGGTCCTCCAGACAGCAGTATGCAGCGATCAAGAGCTTGGTGTCTAGACTCAACTTGCAAGGGTTGAACTCAAGCCTGGCCCTGCCACTCACCTGCTG